AAGGCATCTGCGCGAAGGGCTGGTCTATCCCACCCTTCATTATCTTCTCTAGCAAGCACCACCTCTCTGCCTAGTACAAGGAGCCTAGTATACCTGACAACTAGGTTCTTAATGTCTCTAACAATGGCTAGACTAATAATAAGCTTGGAGTTAAGTGGTTGAAGCACTTTGATAAGCACACAAAGGCGCGCACTGTTGGCAGCTATTGGCTGCTCATTCTGGACGGCCACGAGAGCCACAACTCAGTCGAATTCCACCAGTACTGCGAGGAACACAAGATTATTACCCTGTGTATGCCTCCACACTCGTCGCACCTACTGCAGCCACTTGACGTGGGCTGTTTTTCTCTGTTGAAGAAGGCCTATGGCCGCCAAGCTAAGCGGCTGATGCGTAGCAAGATCACGCGTATTACTAAACTTGAGTTCTTGCCATGCTTTAAAGCGGCTTTTGACGCCTTAATTACAGAGAGTAACATCTAGGGAGGATTTAGAGGTGCTGGCCTAGTCCTATTTGACCCAGAAGCTGTGATATCAAAGCTTGAAGTACGACTGCGCACGCCAACGCCACCTGCTGTAGACAACAGTACGTGGGAGTCTAAAACACTAAGCAATACGCTGGAATTTAGGTCTTAATTAAAGCTGATTCAAGAGAGGATTTAGAGACATGCTAATAGCTTGCCAACATCTATAGTTAATGCTCTTAACTAGCTCACTAAAGGCGCAGAGCTAATAGTGCATTCACTAGTTTTAGTGCGCAACTAGGTTGCTGACCTACAGGCAGCCAACAAGGCTGCTACACGTTGTAAATTACACAAAAGGAAGCAAGTACAGCGAGAGGGGACTCTAACCTTTGCTAAGGGAGTGCAGCTAACTACTCTAAAGGAGTTTAAGGCCTGTAGTGATGGGAAGAAGGCAAAGAAGAGGTCACGCGTTAATGGGAGCACTCAGTCTTTAAGGCGCTGTGGCCCACAGCGCCTTAAAGACTGAGTGCTCCCATCAACACGCAACCTCTTCTTTGCCTTCTTCCCATCACTACAGGCCTTAAACTCCTTTAGAGTAGTTAGCTGCACTCCCTTAGCAAAGGTTAGAGTCCCCTCTCGCTGTACTTGCTTCCTTTTGTGTGATTTACAACGTGTGGCGGCCTTGTTGGCTGCCTGTAGGTTAGCAACCTAGTTGCGCACTAAAACTAGTGAATACGCTATCAGCTCTGCGCCTTTAGTAAGCTAATTAAGAGCATTAACTATAGACGTTGGCAAGCTATCAGCGTGTCTCTAAATCCTCTCTTAAATTAGCTTTAATTAAGACCTAAATTCTAGGGTGTTGCTTAGTGTTTTAGACTCCCACGTACTGTTGTCCACAGTAGGTGGCGTTAGCGTGCGCAGCTGTACTTTAAGCTTTAATAGCACAGCCTATAGGTCAAGTAGGACTAGGCCAGCACCTCTGAATCCTCCCTAGATGTTACTCTCTGTGATTGAGGCGTCAAAAGCTGCTTTGAAGCACGGCAAGAACTCAAGTTTAGTGATACGCGTGATCTTGCTACGCATCAGCCGCTTGGCTTGGCGGCTATAGGCCTTCTTTAACAGAGAAAAACAGCCCACGTCAAGTGGCTGCAGTAGGTGCGACGAGTGTGGAGGCATACACAGGGTAATAATCTTGTGTTCCGCGCAGTACTGGTGGAATTCAACTGAGTTGTGGCTCTTGTGGCCGTCCAGAATGAGCAGCTAATAGCTGCCAACAGTGCGCGCCTTTGTGTGCTCATTAAAGTGCTTTAACTACTTAACTCTAAGCTTGTTGTTAGTCTAGCTATTGTTAGAGACATTAAGAACCTAGTTGTTAGGTATACTAGGCTCCTTGTACTAGGCAGAGAGGTGGTGCTTGCTAGAGAAGATAATGAAGGGTGGGATAGACCAGCCCTTCGCGCAGATGCCTTGGATGATGCTGGTCCACTCTTAGTCGCCCTGCTACACTGCCTTTGGTCTCCCTTAACGCTTAGAGCCTGTAACAACAGCTCCTATTAATATAACGCCCATTATAAAGCTAGATTTATTAAAGTTGTGGGTGTCTTTATCTTGTATACTATACTTAGCTTTAGTATTCTCTACTAGTTAGAACTAGTCCCTAATCACCTTAGGATCCTCACACAGAGCTCTCTTATAGTCATACTTGCGATTGAATTTGACTTTGAGCTCTGGCTAACGTTTAACAAAGTTGGCAGCCTAGTTCTTGCTAACATAGGGCTAGTGGCGCTCAGCAAGCAGAGAATTGGCCATATCCTCTACATCAGCAAGCCGGGGCGAGTATCCTCGCTCGTCTAGCCTCAACACGTGCTGGACAATTACCTCCTCTTCGTTCTTTGTAAGATTCATAGTATTAGGTGTGTAGTCGCAGCGTGGGGTGGCTCCAGCAAGTCGGTCACTAAGCGTGCTTTGAGAGACATTGTAGATTGCTGCAGCGCGTCGCTGAGAGAGCGTCGCGTCTTGTTGGATAGCCTGGAGAGCAAGCTGTATGTCTGCTTCATTAGAGAGCTTTTTCATGTTGCTGCGTTGAGGCATTGTTAGTAGAGTGAAGTTTGGTGTGGTCTTGGCAAAAGTGACCGGTACACTTGGGTGACCGGCATGCTTGTGGAGTACGTTACACCAAACAATCTCACAATAATAGCTTTTGTGTGTTGCTTAATAACCTCATTTCGTAAGTATCGTTGTGTGGGTGCTGCGGCGCGTTGACCGAACAGGCGCGTTGAGTGCACGGGCACGGTAGCTCTCAGATGTTGACTCTTGTATAGGACAGTGCACTTGAGGCTCTTAGAAAATTAAGGTAGTGGGACAATGACGTAGCTCTTTCAACAGCAGTCAATAGCTCGTCAGCATGCAGTAGCGAATACAGCGTATATAGTTAACAGTCAGGCTCATTACTGTAACTGCGTGAGCAGTCTCAGTCAGAGACTGTGATCAACAATTGTATTGCTATCTGTTGTCGTATTGTGATGTTGTGTTCCAGAAGCTCTCAGCTCTGGGGTAAGCGCACTTGCCCACCGGGTAGTACCTGCTACAATAGGATATCATGTGATCTAAGCCACGTGGTTACAATTGTAGATGACACAGCGGAGTTCCGTTGGAATCCTGAGGAATGTCGACACAATTCGATTGTGTATTGCACTCTGTACATGGTCAGTCCGCTCCATCTGATCATGTCAGTTTTCACACGTTCGCATTGCCGACCGTAGGCTTCGATCGTCGATGGCCAAATTTTTGATCCCGAAGATTACTTGGTCTGTCATTGTTGATTTTCCGGAAGTGTATGCTCGATTTAATTAAAGTATTTGGGCGAGAGCTTTCTGTGCATTCAAAGCAAGATTTAGCGACTATCGTTCCCCGAACTGTAGTTCTGCATTCAATCAAGAAAATAGCGAAAAAATCTAGGTGTAAAACAGTGAGACGACGTTTTGGAATGCTCATGTATTCACTTGCTTGGGCTGTCTCGCGAACCGAAGGTGGATGTCCAAGGCTTGAAACATCTTATAAAACCCGCCACTGAATGCCTAGATGTTGTCGCGCCGGTTTCATGGCAGCCTCGACAATGCTGAAACAGAAAGAGCTTTGATGGCTGTGGTGTAGCCACAGTCGAATATTGGAGACGCTGTGCTGGTATCTCCCTTACCAATTCGAGCCCCATGCGCATAGCGAAATAGGCTAGTTGCACGAGCCTTTACCGTCGTGCAAGCCATTTTATGGTGCGAGAGGTAGAGAGAACGTGTGAGGTGATGAGTCGACGACGCGCAAAGGAGCATGCATATGATTGGCTGGGTAAGCGATGTGCCATGGACTAGTGCCCCATCGGACCCTGGACCGATCCGCGGGCAGCAGTCGATGACGGATGCAAGTCTGTGGCTTATTTCCACCTTACTTTCGCATCCAACATGCTGATGGCTGTGTGCGTTTCCCATAATGACGAGTTTTGTGGATCTTTGATTATATTTGACGCGTGCGTTTCCCTCCGCTGAGAGAGCCTTCTTTCCTCTTGAGTCTTTCCCAGATCCGGAGTATCGTGCTGTAAACATGTCTCGCAGCAACGAGCAGACGCCGCTGCTTCAGGAGAGATGGAACCAGGAAGTAGAGAACCAGAGGGTAGATCACTTTTTCGCGTGGCAACGCAAAGCTAATCTTACTCACATTGGGCAGCTTCTCCGTATCGAGGACCTTCCCGATGAATACAACCCTAGGAAATGGTCGAGATGGAATAAAACGGCCAACGTGGTTGTCATCGCTGGCATGTCAAGTATGCAAATACATGCCTCCGACATCGTGTATACTGATTCTCGACAGTTCTGAGTCCTCTTGTCAGCAGCATGTTCACGCCAGGCATCGCCCAGATCGCCGAAGACCTCAACACATCTACGACCGCTGTTATCGGCACGACCACTGGATATGTCGTCATGTTAGGCATTGGGCCGCTCCTTCTAGCACCCCTCTCTGAGACCTTCGGCCGCCGCAATCTCTATCTTATATGCTTTTCGATCTTCGCACTTCTCCAGATCCCTACCGGATTTTCTCCAAATATCGGGTTCCTCATCGCTATTCGAAGCATCGCGGGCTTCTTTGGAAGTGTCGGTGTTGCCAATGGAGGCGGCACAATATCAGACATGTTCATACCGAGTGAACGCGCAGGCGTTTTTGGCTGGTATCTGCTAGGTCCACTGCTCGGTCCAACAATTGGACCCTTACTCGGCGGTGTAGTCGTACAGCGGCTTGGTTGGCGTTGGACCTACTGGATCATGGCAATGGTCTCCTTCGTAAATACAGCAGCTGGCTACTTCTTGCTGCGTGAGACCTATGTGCCACGCATCCTAAGCCAGAAAAAGGACGAGTTAGAGCGCGATGCTTCGGATTCTGAAGGCGCGAAGTACTCATACGAAGGTGAAGACACTCGACCGCTACGCCAAAAGATTCTGCACTCGCTGAAACGGCCACCGAAGATTTTTGCCCAGCCCATCGTTGCGATTATGGCGGTGTACCAGGCCCTCATCTTTGGAACGACATTCAGCATTTACACCAACATGCAGAAGATCTATTCCGAGCTTTACGGCTTCAACACAGAGCAGGTAGGCTTGCTGTATCTCGGACCGGGTCTCGGATTCCTCTTTGCGGTCTTCTTCCTTGTGTCTCGTATTGACACGGTATACAAAAGGCTCACAGCAAAGTATGGCGATAAAGCTAAACCGGAGTACCGTCTACCACTTGCAAACATTGGTTCGGTTTGCATCCCAGTGTCGTTGTTCTGGTTTGCTTGGACGGTTGAAAAGCACGCACATTGGTTTGCATCCATCTCGGCTACCTTCTTCTACGGCATTGGCCAAGTCATGATCCTGAATAGCACTCAAAACTATTACATTGATAGTTTTGAGAAATATGCAGCCAGTGCTATCGCAGCAGGCACTGTGTTCAGGAGTCTTGTTGGTGGAATTGTGCCCTTGGCTGCACCAGGATTGTTTGAGCATCTTGGGTACGGATGGGGTATCAGCGTTTTCGCTATCATCGGGGTGGTGCTGGCCCCTGCGCCCATGTTCTTCTATATCTTCGGAGAGAGGATCCGCGAGCGCTTCCCAGTGAATCTCTAAGGTTCAGCCCGACAGAAATAGCTCAATAGAGTCTTTCCAGGTATCGAAGAGCGCAGTGCCTGCGTAACGAGTTCTTCAAGCGGCAACATCTTGGGGTACATTTAACCAAGAGAGCGAGTTAGGAAATGCCGATCAGGCTGAGCAACACTTATGTTCGAATTTGTCGCACGAGTAGCGGCTCGGTGGGCGTGTAGTACAGCGTTTCATCTTTCCCGAGCATGAGTTTGGGAGCCTCCACACACACACGATAGACAGGGCTTAAGACGGCGACTGGTGGCTTCCTATTGAGTTTATGTCGTGAGGGTGGCAAGTCCTCCTGCAAGCAATACTTACGCAATTTATCTGGAACGTGCTCTTTGAAAGTTCACAGTTCAAACTTGGTCGTCGAGTGTCTTCCTTTCGGTAGTACTGGAGAAAATATGCAGCCCTATGGTCTAACACATGCAGACGATTTGCACCCAGACTAATTGAGCTCGGGGTATACGTCGAAACTTCGCCCGTAAAATTTCAATGCTGCCAATGACTCAAAAATGTCTCTCCTTCACTTTCTCTCTTGCAAACTCCGAACCCCTCAGCTAGTAAAATCATACATCCCCCTCTCCCTCGCCCCAGCTCCTCACCCTCAAGACCGGTGTAGTCCACGTCCCGTTCGCAACAGCCCCCGCTCCACCCGTCTCCATCGGCAATCCCATTCCCGCACTCACTGTTGGATCACCTTCAATTACCTCATCTGGTGACTCCGCCGACAACCCCATTCCAGCAAAGAACTGATCCCACAATCCCATAGCAACGATCTGTTCCGATGCGATGGACTCGGCCATCTGAAGGATCTCCGAGCCAGTCATAGAGCCGGCGTTCATGGGCTCAGATTCGAAGGTTTCTTCGGGAATGGCGGCGGAATATGCAGGGGTGGCAGAAGAAGACGCCAGAGTGCAGAGAGTTTTGGAGCAAGAATTTGGCAGGCTAACTGAGGCACTGACTGAACCTGAAAGGGTTGATGGTACAGAGATTGGGATACTTGCCGAGAGGGTCGATACGGACTTGAATCTGGGCATCTGGGTACCGAAAAGCGGATATGTTTGCGAAGCTGGTACTGATGGAGCTGTACTACTCGATGGTAACGGCGTTAAAGAGCTGGCTGACGGTCCAGCCTGCGTACTTCCCGGTGGCGGGGGTGCCCGGAGTGATGTTAGTGGAGGTGGCGGTGCGGCACTAGTGTTCGGCGGATCGACAGGCTTTTTGGTTTTTGGTGGCTCGACTGGAGTTTCTGACTGCGGTGGTGGTGGTTGTCGTGGTGGTACTTCGGTCTTGGGAGGATCAGCTGGCTTGACGGTCTTCTTTGGGGGCTTCTTCGCGGCAACCTTGACTTGGAACCTTTCATCGATGTTCCTAGCCTTCACTGGTGCAGCGGTCAAGCTGCTTGGGTCCTCGGGCTTTCCGGTACTCCATAGCCATTTGTTGTAGTACATAGCCAACGACCAGTACAGGATTGTGTCGATGTTACGAGACGATACTCTAATGTTCTTGCCTCCGTTCTGCTTTGCTAGGCCAACTGCGCCATTGAACCCAGACGCTTTAACCCCAGTGCCACCGTTAGCATCTGGAACTTTCTGATCCGCGAACTCCTTACGAGTAGTATGGAAGAACTGAGTGTGCATAAATTCATGGAACCATTTCGCTCCAATTGTCTTGTCAAAAGCCGAGATGTGAAAGGGGAGAACTTGATCCTTCTTGCCAGCTTGCGTATATGTCGTGAAAGTACTTGGAAGCGTGGACTTAGAGATGTCCCAAAGATGAGGCTGCTTATCTTTTTCAAGCTGCTGCTGCCGCTTCAGATACCCTTTACATATTGTGATCCTGATTGCAGTCAGTATCCACTTTATATCAATTGCTGGGAACATCCATATACCGTCCAAGGCCCGTCTCGCGAGCGCCATCGACTACTTCGTTCACCTTTACCGCTATAGCTTTGTCGCCCTGACACGGCTTTCCACCCTTGAGCCTGATCCAAATCTTCCGATCCATGTCGTAAATGTACTTGACGCCTGTTTTCAAGGGATCGGTAGGCATGGGTTTTGCACCCTTCGGCTGCCTCTCACTCAGCCAGTCATCGTTACAGTGAATAATTAGATCGGGTTTTTCAGTCCTGGTCATCCGGGCTAGGGAATCTCTGGTCACCTTGATGGCAGTGAGGTGCTCCTTTACCTCCTTCTCAAAGTTGAGATTCGTTGTTCCATTGCTGTTCTTAGTCTTGATGTCTCCAAATAGAACCCGGTAGGTGGCGATGATCTTGTTGAGCTCGTCTTTGCTGACAGAAGGCTTTTTAACACCAGGTGCCTTGCTCTGATATTCGAGCATGGCGATGACTGTGTCCAGACCGTCCTTTCCGGCTTTAGCTATGCTAGGCTGCATGTCGATACTCTTATCGAGAAGCTGCTTTGCGGTAAGCGTGCCATACTTGGTGGTACACGATGGATCAAACTTCAAGGCCCGCTTTAAGAGGTCTGAAGAGAAGGCATTGGTACTCGGGAGCAGCAGCAATACCGAACAGAGAATGTGCGCACTGAGAACCTTCATATCGCTAAAGTGGAAAAGGAATGGACGAAGGCTCCAGAGCCGTCTGTAAGGAAAAAAAGACTGACAGAACGAACCCGGTGAGGTGTTGTACAATGATATAGCCGCTTAGGCGGTGCTATACAGCTGATGAATTGATTGGGGAAGACAGCTGGGGACTGCCCAGTGTAAGCACATGTTACATGTAGCAACCCATGGACGTCCGATGTCCTGCCAAGCTATTTCCACCGAGAGGTCTGCCTGACGCATATCCAGTAAATCTGAAATTTGGCCCATGCGCTAATCGAAGTCCGTTTTATGCGCACTTGATAGCGCATTCCCGAACTTCGCAGGGCTGCAATAACTGGTCATCGATGTCTGAACAAATTTCCGCGCCCTACAATCTCCGACCGCTGACACTTTCAATCTCGATTCCCGAGCCTGGGCACAGGACATGTCCGAGACTGCGGGACTTTCGTAAGAGGGCGAGGAATTTGACTGTGGAACTATGCCAGACTATATACCTGATAATCTAAGTCACAATCGCTGTCGACTTCATCCGACCCTGCCCTTGCAGTACAGTCATATTTTGACTTCCAAATAAAGCGCGTACCCAGCTCGTAAGTGCCAGATTCAACGAGTGAGCATATCAGGCCCAAAGTATGCGCAATATGGCCAGTCCAATTAAAGTTATCTGCCACAAAATTCCGCAGCCATACGCTCCGCTGTCCAATGCCATCCCATGCAAGAGGAATTATACAGAACATGGGCGCATTTTTAACCGCAGCCCAAATTGGAACCTCAGCGTATACAAGCGGTCTTTCGTCAATATCTTCTGACCAGCAGGATGACATGGGGTTTTGTAGGGTTGGCCGGACAAGTCGCTGTACAAGCTGTGACTTGCTTACTATGTGAAAGCGTAGAGCCGTCCTTCGAAGGCCGCTCTTTCTGTCGCTGTCAAATCTTGATCAGATCTGAGGTCTCGATCTCCAATATTTTGTCGATCTTTTGTCAATTTTGTTCATCGGGTGTCAGGGGGATGTTATCCCAACTCAGATCTGTCCAATGTGTGCTCAAACTTTGCACTGGTACCGAGCTCTATTTTCCTGTTGGGTGTGCAGTCATGCCATCATGTGGCTAGGTCGGCGAGCGCGCTCCAAGCCAATACTATTGTTAGTATAGGATTCTGTAAAGTTCGACCTCGTAGTGATCCAACTAGAATCCACTTTCAAGATTCCGATCCACGCGAAGCTTGAAAGAAGTGATGCCGTTGAGCGCATACTCGAGACTTTTGCCTTTGTATAGCTTCTCAACCTCGGCTCTTCCTCAAGTGCCGAGCAGCAAAACTGTGACGGCCCGGATATTGAAAAATTGTGTCTCTTGCTGTTCCGACAGTTGCTTGGTGTTTTAACTATGCGAGTTCTCTGCAGGAACAATACGGACGGTCCATCCGTTAGTTTCATCAAGGGTTCCATAATCGTCGTCGCCAAAGAAGAACACAGATGGCGCCTTCCTCATCTGATCGCTCACGAACCCGAAACCAATTATCTGATGGTAGAAATGACTTCGATAGTCCTCGGTCGCCCAGGCTAGTGAGCATGTCAGCGACTGCAAGCAGTTCAGTTAAAGGCACGCAAAGTGTACATAGAGAGACCCACACATCGTGCTAATTACTAAAACGCGAAGTGTACGCAGCTTCCAGGACATGCTAATGCGGCACATACTCAAGCGTTATGCGCCATTGTCGCAGAGAAATAGCCTTATATAAGCGACCTAATTAGGGGTCTAAGTATAGTCTATATTTTGTCGCTTTTCAGCTGTGAGTCTGTGACAGCCATCTTTGCCGGAGATCGGTACGTTTTCCCCTATCATTGCGTACGGCTCCAAGAGCAGATGAATTATGTCTAAGAAAGGCATGACTGGATTAGCGGCGTTGTCTTGAGAATCCCGTCAAGTTGTCGTTGCAGGCAGTAGCTATCTCAAGTACAAGTACCCGCGACAGCTTTGCAGCACGGGAGTCGTGATAATGTGCGTCTCAGCCACCGAGGTGTCGCGTTCGTTCACCAAAATGGGATTGGGAGACGACACAGCAAGCAAGACAGAAGATGAGTATCAGATATCAGATTCAATTGCGCTGCTGACTGCATGCTATCATCCGCAACTTTGTGGTTGTCGATCGATAGCTGTTGATCTTGCGTGATTGTGATTACGGGCTCGACGGTGGCTCTAAGCCGTACCGGTAAATGCACTAGGTAGTGTGCGGTATAAAACGCAGGCGATCGCCCAGGTCAAACTAAATGATCATTTGTTGGAAGTCAACTTTGTCGAGCTTGTCACCAACCTCCACGAGTACGATTTCAAGACGCGTAGCATCTCTCCGCTTCAATCAATCTGATTACTTCTCGACGGCAAGCAAGGACTTCAGCCGCTCCTCGGCCTGCACTGCGTCGCAACGAGATGTCCTTCCTTCAACATCGTCAAGGAATGCAAGTACACAGGACGCTCGATAGATTTGTGTTGATTAACTCGCAGTTTGCGTCCCTGCTTTAAGACATGAAAACCTCGCCCCTCCAGACCGCAACCTTGATATCCCATTCCCGGTCTCCTTTCCTCTTGGACCTCTCCATGTCTTGCTCAATCCCCGCTTTCAGGCGCTCCTGCACCTGACCACCGAATTCCGCTTGCACGAACACGCACGCCACCCAACTCTCGTTTCCATCCTTTCCCTCGGCGATGCGGGAAGGCATATCCGGCTGTGCGTCTGGAAGATGACGGTACATCGTCCTGTATACTTCGCCGTCTACTTGTCTCCGAGAGCGGAGGTTGTGTGTGTGATGACAAGATCTCAGAATAGTTTGAGGTGTTTCGATAGCTCCTCTTCGAGTCTGGAGCTTGTATAGGAAAGTGTGACTAGCGAGCATGGCGGTGCTGTCGGCTTGGTGTCAGCGGGCGAGAGGAGTGTAAGCGGAAGATCTTAGTAGGACTGAACACCCCCGCTCTCCTCACTCACTGAGGCTGAGAGGATCGTGAACTCAGCGTTCGAGATATCCCATACCATATTCCGTTCTTTGAAGCCACAACCATCTCGCAACACCGGATCCTCAACTCGCTCAATGAAGAGAGTGTTCTCCAGATCCAGTCTTCGACTCATATCATAGTAAGGTTGCGTCTTCTAGACAGCGATGTCGTTGGCGTGGATCGTGTAGATGAGGCCGCCGGCGGTATTGGTGTAGCGTAAGGCGCGGGACACGCCTGACGAAGACGAGGATGGAGGAGGGCAATTGAGCAGGTCGTAGAAGTGCATGACCGTCCAACACTTGAACGTCTTTGCTTTGTCCTCCGTTTCTTTGTGGAGATTGGGGCGTGCGAGCATCATGCCGGTCCGTTCTGGATAAGCACTTGCGGCTGGTGCCGGAGAAACGTCGCCCATTCTGGAATTAGTGTCGATGTCTTTACTTCCGCAGGAGCTTTGAGTCTTCTGAAGGCTATTGGTGCGTGATATGGCCTGCTGTGTTGGGATGAAAGACGATGCTTATGAACTTCGGCCTGTGTGGTAAAGCGTCGGGGCCAAAAAGTGGAGGCCCGTCGGTGCATATATAGATGCTCCTAATCGGGAAATGTCAAGCCTTACGTGACGAGTGAGGTACCGATCGGTATAGAACGTGTTGTCCGAGCAGGCACGAACCAGCGTCAAAGATGCTCCCGATCAGTCAATTCTCGCGTTCCGTGGTTGTGGAGCGGCATTTCAGGTGTCGAAGCTCCGAAGGGCCTGTTGTGGTGATACGCGGCGTGCATCATCATGTCACACTGCGTCAAGTAAGAGTACCTGATCGGCTGCATTACATATTGGATTCGATCCTTTCAGTTCCGGCTAATTACTATACAAGCCAAGAAGGGAAGTGATGCAGATAAGATCGAGGCAAAAGGAGGCCAAGTAGAACGTAAAAATCACACAATCATACCTTCCCAGTCCCGCCGCTTCAGAGCTACCATATGCCCAGCGATCGTGAAAGCGCCAAAACACCTCAAGAGACAACGCACAAACGATAGAACGTAGAAGGGTGCCCCGCAAGTCTGCCTTGTCCACTTGTCCAGATATCGCCTTCTTGTCGATACTCCTAATACCCCTGCCTCGCCAAGTGCAAGAAAACAGTATACTTCTCGATGTCCACAACATCCTTGCCACTCATACTTTCTCCATCTTTAGATATCTTCTCTGCAACAATCTCAACTTCAATTCTGTTCACGCCGCCAACCAACTTCGCCTCGAAAACAGGCTCGCCCTTCTTCTTCCCACCCTCAAATCCTGCGCCCTCGCCACCACCGTTAATGCCTGCGGTGACGGGCACGCGGTTGACCTCGTAAGTCTTGTTGCCGTTGACCTGGACGAAAAGGCGGTACAGGCGGCCCGTAAGCGCAATCGGTACTTTGGGCGTGATCTGAAGGTAGGAGCGTGTTGGCGATAGATTAATCGTGGCGCTGTGATGTGTCTTGGTCTTGCTTGCGGGGATGGTTATCGCCCATGGGTGAGGAAGGTTGAGGGCTGGGTGTGTGTTCAGAGTTAAGCCGGGGATGAGAGCTTCGCTCACTTCTATGTCATATCAGCATACAAACGAGCAGACCTTCTGGATCGCTCACTCTTAAGAGGCGTCTTGCGGAAGACATCGGTGCGTGGGATAGATGGCGGGACATAGGGTGCTGGTGGCTGGAAGACCGGATTCGGTAGACCGTTCGGCTGATTGTACAGACCGTTGGGGTGTGGGCTACCACTTGCATGGCGCGATATTGCCTGCGGCGGTGCCATGGCTGGTATCGGAGTCTGAGCAAGCACGCTGAGTCGTTGCGCGTCTGGCACATTGCTACCTGATCTGATAGCGCTCAGCGCTGGTGACTGTATATCTTGCTTCACGCCATTTGCTGCAGGCGAACCAGCTGTTCTGGTCTGTGCGGCGGGGATAGGAGCGATGGCAGCGGAGGAGCCTCTTGTCACAGAGAAGGGATTTGGTGCCGCTGGTGTAGCGGCCTTCTCTGCAGGCTTCGACCACCGGCTACCCGTGCTGTCGTTGACGTGCTGTCGTTGCCTCTGGAGCGCCTCGTTGTCTACTATAACACCTGGTGTGGCCGAGTCGCGTGTGGCTGGCGTCTGCGAACCTGACACTGGACTTTGTCTGAGTTTCAGCTTCAGCTGTTGCTTGGGCGCAGGCGTCGGTGCTGCACCGGCGGACATATTGAGCTTGAGCTTGGGCTGTGGTGGCTCATCGACCTTGGCTTTCATAGCCTTGAGTTTCGCGTTGAAAATTTCCTCGTTCTGTCAGTAAAGATCTCAACACTGGCTTGGTTATTACGTACCTCAAGTTCGAGCGAGAGGTTATAAAGCTCGCTCCCGTCCTCGTTGTAGATGCGCGCGTTCTTCCATACAAGGCCCATTGCATTCTCGAACGCATCCCAGCTCTTGAAGAGGGTGTGCCCCGTAGGTGCGTCACGGCCAACTACGCCCTGCACTTTCTTTTTGATAGCGGTCAACGACATTGGGTCTTTAATTAGTTGGTAATAGTCCTTCAAGGCACGAGTGGGTAGATTCAAGAAGGGTTGGAAGATGGCCAAATCGCCGCTGTTGTACGTTAGCGAGGCCTGAGATCAAGAACCATGGTCAACATACCCTGGGTCGGTGTGATCGATGACCTCCTGAATGATTTGCTCCTGTGCGTGCTGGAACGACAGACTAGAGGCATTCCGTGTACCAGTCGCCCTGGGCTCTGGTGCAGCGGATGCCGACTGTCTAAGCTTCGATGGCGCAGGTGTATCTGGCTGTGCAAGTGCTGCCGCTCGCCGAGGGCGTTCTGCTACTACTGAAGACGCAGATGTAGGCGTAGCAGCGGCGACCCGTGGAGTGAGCGCAACACGTGGTGTTGGTTTCCCTGGTGTCATGTTCTCCTCTCCTGGCACAGGCGTAGCCACTGCAACATAGCTACCATCTCGGTATGCAGGGTTGTGCTTGACCATCCAGTTCGAAGCTGTCTTGCGCAGTCGCTCGGCGTCCTCGTAGATGATCGACTTCTTGTCGTTGTATGCTTTGGCGTTGTTGACGAGTCGTTTGCAGTCGCTCTCGACTTGAGCGAGGGATGCGTATTCGCCATTGTTGAGTTTTTCCTGTCACTTGAAGTTAGTATGCTATATTGGGGCAGTACTGGATGTATTTCTGTGACTGCTGCTATGACCGCTCGATTGGCGCTTGTGTGCTAGACTGGATAGCTGTGCGGGTAAGTCGTGTAGTAGATGTCCTGGGGATATCTAGCAGTGTGAGAGCTTGTGTGCATACCTCGATGGTTTCCAAGGCCAGAGGCAGCTTTGTGAACTCGTAGTAGTCTGGCAGCTTGTCCTGCACACAGCACGGTCAATAGTCTGTCTAGGGAGATGAAGCTTGCAAGGGCACTCACCTTGTCTGGCAGTGTCATGAAGTGCACTGCAATTGGTCGTCCCCTGCCAGTGTTAGTCCCATTTGTTCTCACTCCACATGCTCCCTTGTGCACGTACGTCTTGTCTTTAGCCTGCTTCAAGCCATCGAGGAACTTCAAGCCCATGTCTGTAGTCGACTCGACTGTCTCGCCGCCGGAGCCCTGTATGCACAAAAGGCATTGTCAGCGATGTGTTCCATGTTTTTTGCGCATATCATATCCTCCACCTCAGACGGCATCGCGGCGGTGTCTGGTGTTCGCGCGGAGGCCGCTCGGTGGTGGGAAGTAGGTCGACCCAGGCGGGAGAGTCGCGCCCATGTCTAGGTGCGCATCCCGCAACGCGCCCAACACAGCATGCGCTCTTCCACACACTGTCTGCGATGCAGTGATCACCACTGTGTACCATGGGGATGTGCACTTACCGGCGCTTTCTGCCGCTTTGCAGGGCGACCCTCGCCAGGGCTCAGCGCAGCGTTGCCTGCCTTACGCTTCGACGCACTCTCCATTTTCACGTATTCGTAGTCGCGTCGACAATCAAAGACGATCTGGGGCCTTATCGAGGGGTTCAAGGGTCGTGGTGCCGGTGCACTGCAGTGCTGGAGCTGGCCTTCGTGAGCGCGTTGCTGTAGTCGCGCGACCTGCGTTGCGGACGCTAATCTGTGCTTAGTCACGTGCGACTTCCAGCAATCACCGCAAGGAACGCAGTTTGCAGTCACTTTCTCGGCAATACACAATTGTGTGAGCTTGCTGAATGACGGCAGGAGTTGCTCAAAATGGCATTGTGGTGTCTAGGACTAGGCCCTGGCGATGGCTCAGGGTATTTGAACAGCAATGAGAACCTCCCCGAAGTACCGCAGCAAACCCAACCACGTTTGTCCAACCGAATATGGAAGGTGCATCAGAAGTAAGCGCTTCACTTCTTTGAAGCAGCCTCAGTCGCAGTCTTCTCAAACTCCTTCTGCGCTTCTTGCTCCTTCATCTCGCGCACCTTGGCAAGCACAACTTCGCGGAAGATGGCACCCTTTGCAATCCTGCTCAAACGACCAGGTCCCTTGCCCGTGGTGCTAGAACCAGTGCCAGTCGCGTCTTCTGTTGTCTTTAAAGACTTGCTAGTTGTGTGGTTTGCGATTGCATCACCAGCACTCTCGAGCGCGTTGGCGGGCACATCGGCCTCGCCAGGCACTGCCTCTTCCTCGTCTTCCTGCATCTTCAAAGCTTCGATGCGGTTCGCTAGCTTGACAAGCTCGATACCGCGCTTGAGGCGGGCCTTCGCGACGTACGCGCGAATCTCGGGCAGCAAGTTGTGGTCGCTAGCAGTCTTGCCGCTGAGCCAGACATGCTTCAGCGCTTGCTACTTCTCATCAGCTTGAAAATGAAGTGACTTCGATTCTTGCTTACCTCACTAGTAGGCCTCTTGTTCTGGTCGGGCTGGAGCAATTGTGTAATGAAGTCCTTCGCGTCCTTGCTGACTTCCTTCCAGTAGCGCTCGTGGAAGATGACACGGCCATTCTTGCACTCCTCTATCAGGTCTGCGAGGTTCTCAGACCTGAAAGGGGAGTAACCACAGAGTAAGGTGTAGGTGATGACACCCATAGACCACATATCGACAGGCTTGCCGTGTCCCTTCTTCAGCATGACCTCAGGCGCCGCGTATCCAAAGGAGCCAGCCATAGTAGTCAGCACCTCATGCTTCGAGTCGAGCATCTTGGCGATACCGAAATCAGCCAATACGAGGGAGGAGTTGGATTCGCGCGTGAGGTAGAGGAGGTTCTCGGGTTTCAGATCTGCAGACTGGTAAGCGCAAACAGTTGCATGAGTCGAGCCAAGCTCTACCTCTGTGAACGCAGTTGTGCTGGTGGAGATAGTTCACCGCATCGAGGACCTGGCGGATTGTCTCGGCGGCGTCCTTCTCAGTGAACTTGCCCTTTTCGCAGATGCGGTCAAACAGCTCTCCTCCAGTCGCCAATTGGGTAACGATATAGTACTTGTCCTGCAAGCCGTCAGACCCTAGATTTCACACTGCGCATCCGCCTTGTACGTACCCTCGACTCGAACCAGTCGTGGAACTTGACAATATGTGGGTGCTTCATTTTCTGCAGCATCTCCAGCTCGTCATAGACCATCTGCTCATTGCCGCGGACATTCTTCTTTAAGATGATCTTGACTGCGACCTTGCCATCCGGGCAGTCGGCCTCGCGGACGATACCATAGGTTCCGGCGCCCAGCGTCTTTCCAAACTTGTAGCGTGACCTGCGATTGCTTTGCTCAGTACTTGTTCGTCGGCGGGGGGGGAGGGGGTTTCATGAGGCACGGACTTGCGGTCATAGCTGTCAGGCTGGCCGTGCAGCTTGTTGAGCATGTTTGTCACTGCGATGACGCGTCAGTGGGCTTCTTGAAAAGTACACAGGCTATGAGAGAGGAGCACAACTCATAATAGGCAAAAGTGTCGCAGCAACAAGACTGCTGAGTGTCCTTGGGGGCTGAAAGTAAGATGGGCTGGCCTATCTGGCGGCGTGCAGCTGGTGGTGGGGGGGATGAGGGGTAGGTCGTCAAACGGTGATAACAATGGCTGTAGGTAAGAAAGAGAGAAGTTCGAAGGGGAATTGCAAAAGGAGGCGCAGAGTGGCAGCAGGTAATGGGCACTGCAGGGTCTTCGTGAGAAGTTGAAGCTCCTGTGCGGCTGTGGGGTCGCTCTTGCTGTCGGTCTCTTGTGCGGGTTGGCGCAGGCGCATTCGAGGCGCAGCTGGCCTCGCCAACGAACGCACGCGCCTCAGGCACATCGATTCGTGAGGCTATGATATTTAGGGAGATGAGGCTGACAATGCACCGGGATAATGCGGCCGGCGAACAAACGTTCCTCAAACTATATCATTGGCAATCGTTCGACAGCTGTGTCAACGGTCGTGATGACCTCTGGGTGTTGATCAACAAACCCGCGCACATGTCAGCCTCGCACGGAACCAGGGATTCATCTTGCCGGACGAACCCTTGACGCTTGACACTGATGCTGAACGAAGGTGAAGGTGAAACGAATGCGAAAAAGTCCCTACGCCGTTTCTTCCGAACAGCGTCCCACATTTGCACATGCTTGCCAAGTTGTGAGTTCGATGGGCAAGGGCAGCAAGGAAATCGTGGGCAGGGGTTCGTATAGGAAAGTGCAGTAGATGACATCACAAGTTAAACGTAGAAACCTGAACGATGGATATACTACACAATAAATACACCTCTTCGACACCGCTACTCTTCCTGAACACCTTCACAACCGCATAGCCTCCCATCAGCGCTTCCACAAACCTCACGATGACTGCCGCATCCTTCCTCACTGGCGTCGCTGGCGTCATCGCTGCTATTGGCCTCGCACTTTTCCTCTTCGGCATCCCACCAGAGCTCAAGCGCAAGATGGAGCGCGCAGCACTCAAGACCATGGGCGAGAATAAGCTCTCCTACCTCGCCAAGGGTACATTCAGTCATCTAGCACTCAACGACACCACCACACATGCTCGCACTCCTCACATCCACGTGTCTACGCAGCAACAAGATACTGACAACATCCAGGTCAAATCGACAAGATCCCCACCTCCAACCAGACCGACCCTCTTCAGCTGAAGAAGGGTGTCTCCAACTTCGCTGGTGGCGCTTCCCAGAACCCATTGGGCGAAGCAGCAGGCGAGGCTGCAGACAGCCTTACAAGCCCGTTCACCGGTCGCTAATGTGTGCGTGTCTGTAGTGCGAGTCGCAAGCAACGTATAGGACAACGTGCAGGCGAATGCAAGCTCGGCACGAGACACGGTGCAGGCCTACTCGGACAACGCGTTGAAGCGAGTGAAGGCCTTCGACGGGCTCAGGACTACCGGACAGGTAGGTGAGAAGGTCGACGAGAAGGCTGGGGGGTTGCGATGGCCTGACCTTTGATGAGACATGATCGGTGAAGCGTGGCGTTGGCGAATTTCCTCTTGAACATCTATAGCATAACCTACCTAACCAATCACCAAGTAACCTTACTCTGATCACTACACACGAATTGCCATAATAAACCCTGCCAACCTAGCACGATGCCCCAAAACGGCACCAGGAACCTTGTCTTCCTGGTTTTGTGCTGGAAGAAATGCATCGCCATCAATGCCCCAGGCCAGCCGCCCAGCATCGTCAGCAAATGTAATGTCCACTCGCTCACCCGCCACTCCAGATTCCGCGCCTGCAACTTGTCGTAACCATACGTGAGGAACGTCACACCGCTGATGAAGCATGTATATGCAGTCGGCAGGAGGGAGGCCTTGAGTACAGGACCGTTGGAGTAGAGGCGCGCGAGGGTAATGCTGGGTAGGAGGAAGGACGTGAATCCTGCGAGGGTTGCGAGCGTGAGCGGCCGGTGTCGTTGGGGTGGTGCACGGGGCATGTTCGGCGTGTGAAAAGAGGAAAGGGAACGAAAGAGGATTGTCAGACAAAATCAGGAGTGAGCGACCCGCCAAACTCATCTAAGCCCCTCCAATGGAATGGAACGGTCGATTTGCCGTTGAGGTACGGCGCGAGGCTAGTGCTGATCTGCTCACGACGATTCGCTAGGCTGACACTGTCGCTGTAATTATAGCGGAACATGTTTGTGTACAAAGGGCAGATCATCTTGATCTTCGCATACAATACAACTTGTCGCGCTCTGCTGCAGACTCGTACCGTTTGCCCAATGTACAGGCTAGTTACCCGTTAACTGAGATTATACGGTAACAATGTGTTCATACCAACATACGCCACGATGCTCCCAGCAACGATACACCTTCTGCGGCGCCTTGCAGCTAAAGCAGCACAAGTACTTCTTAAACTGCCAGTTGGAGTTCCACGTTACTACACGCTCCTGGAGATTGACACAGAGGTCTCTAGCACCATCGCAGCCCTTCATCACAACAGCATGTGCGAGGGGTAATTAAATTTGTCAACGTCCACCTCGTCGTCGACAACATCAGCCTCGCGCTCCTCGTCGTCCTCTTCAATACCTGCACTGCCTCCAAGCGCTCCAGCTTCTAAGTGACTGCGACCACGACCGTTCCGCTGCGCACGTCGATCCAGCCTCGCCCCTTGGCCGCCACTCAGCGGTGTGTCGGAGACGTAGCGTCTCGCGAATCCACCCAGCATCTGGTACGCTAGCTGCAGCGTCAACAGTTGGTCAGTTGAAGCTTTTGTTGGTCGGGTGGGTCTACTAAGGCTCGGTTGAGCCTTTAGCGTTGGTCGGCTCAGCTGTGTCCTGAGCGTCAATCTTGTTCTTCAGAACCCTCCCTGACGCTAGCTGAGCGCTACACACTTGCAGATGCCGTCGCAGGGGAACACATTATTTAGCTTGAACGACACCTAATTCATTCTCCTGTTCAGATCGCGCGTGAGGGAGGTGCCAACCAGCAGCTATGTCTGTGGTCGCCCGCAGATCATGGTGTCCACAGTGTGTCGCACGACAACCGCTCGCATTATTTATTCCGAACCCTGCAAGCAGCCGCAAGTAGTCGTTCAGGCTCTGGAAGCGCTTGCTGTTCAGCACGATGCTTGCCACCGTCAGAACGTACGGCTGTTAAAGAAGTCACATTTTGCTAATGTTAGCTGTGCGCTCTAGTACGGGACTACCGGTAGCGGCTTGATGGTAACTAGGACGATATTGCTTAATGCTGCTTGTTAGGGGTCTAATTCGGGCCGTTGCCAAGTAGATGATCTGTTGAGTACGAGCAGCAACACCTTTTCTTTGTAAGAAACTAAGCCATGGCTTAGTGGTACCTAGGATGATATTGCTTAATGTTGCTTGTCAGGGATCTGATTCGGGCCCTTGCCAAGTCGATCCGTTGAAATGGTCGAATACGAGCACCAGCGCCTTTTCTTTGTAAGAAACCAAGCCACGGCTTAATAGCAACTATGATGATTTTGCTTGATGTTGCTTGTTAGGGATCCGATTCGGGCCCTTGCCAAGTCGATCCGTTGAAATGGTCGAATACGAGCACCAACGCCTTTTCTATGTCAGAAATTAAGCCCTACAGGGTAGGGTAGGGTTCGTCGAGAACACGGTTGATTCTACGACTAATAGAGACATCGGGAACACCACGGCCATCCCCAAAACGGAATCGCAGCCGTGTCAGAAGCACGTAAACTTTGCTCAAATCTGTCCGAACACTACAGGGCGGGATAGTCTAGCTATCTCGGCATTATTTGGTACTCCATCAATCAACCCTTGGGCCTGTAGTCGCGAAACATCATACTCGTTTACCTTATGATACAATGCTTAGCGATTGCGCCTTTACTTTGACAGACGTTGGATACGAGATATGGCGCTGACAGTGCGCAGCCCTAATGAGCCACGGGTACCAATCTTCTGCGCTCTGCACAACCCACAAACGTGAAGTTAGGCTTGCAATTGGAAGCCATCGTAATGCCCATCAATACAGGTCTTCTCTTATGGCTTGCAAGAATACGCCAGGCTGAGGTCATCCTTTGCTTGACGATAGTAGAAGGGGAAGGGGATCAAGAACCACTCAAATTTTCAACGAGCAAGCCAACCAGCAGCTAGATTACTTAGATGGGAAATCCCCGGCTGGACATTACAGGTCATCTACCTTCACAGCGCTTCTCAGACACGTGCTATCAATCGGCTAGTGTGTAGTGTGCCACTGTATTAGGTTCTCCATTCAACGTCCTCTGCCGAAGTATGCCCTAGTTGACCATCCTTCATCTTGTATCATTATCTGCTCATAGCGAAGGGACAGGCCTGTCCTTGTCAGAAAAGGACCTTTACAAACCGAAGATTTATATATAAACCCTTCTACATTCTCAGGTTCTGTTGTATCATCAGCAACCACTCTCACTGAAACATCATCACACAACCCCAAGATTCAAACAGTTCACTTTTGAAAAACACTCGTTCAATATGAAGTTCTCCATTCTCTCCGCCATCATTGGCCTCTGTGCCGTCACCAGCGTCACTGGGTCGCCAGTGGCCTCATCCGAGCTCATCGCCGCTCGCATGGACAACGGTCTTGAAACCCGTACCCCTTCGCTCGAGCCTTTCTCCGCTAGGGATACTGTCCCTGAGCCTGACGCCTCCTCTCTCGATCTTACCACTCATGGCACTCACGATGTCGCCAAGAGGGATCTCTTCAGCGATTTCAAAGTCCACCTCGTCACCTCTACCGGCAGAGTTATCGCTATTGTCGCCATCAACTACGTCATCCACGAGTTGGCTGGCGTAATGGACGAGAATTTGACTGCCACCTACGGCAAACTTACCAACGTTCCGACCAACGGAGGAATTGTTGCTGCGAAATTCGACAACCCGACCCTTTTCGGCTCCGCCCAGAGTGCCACCTTCAGCTTTTTTACTAAGGCTGTCTCTGGTCATCTCGACCTCTCCATGGACGCTGCTGGTAACATGGTGGGTGTAAAGGGAAGTACGGGCATTCACTTGGGTAACTTGGTCGTTGCAAAGGCTCTGCACGTCTTCGACACCAACAGGAAACGCATTGGCGTTATCAATCTTTAGGACGGCACTACCTTCATCCTTGGCTCCCTGCTGTCTTGTCATCCCTGGGCTAGGTTTTTTATTACCTTGATTTTTCCTACCTTTAAAATGCAAATGCGGGGAAAACTTAGTACTAGTATAGCTTAGGTTGTTTTCCTATTCCTTAAAATGTAATTGTTGAATCCAAACAACGTGCCCTACCATCATGAAGTTGTTTACACAGACGAATTATTTACACTACTAAGACTATTTAGATTGTCAAGACTAGGCTCCGCCCCACTCGGCCATGCAAGCAAAATGGGTTGGCAATGCTCACTCAGATAGTAAGCACCTGGACGGAACAGTACATATCGTTAATGTTGTGGCAGACGTAGCCGCTGTATAGTCGATGGAAACTGCGCTGAGTTGCTTGCTAGCTAGGAGGTGACCATATATACATGCCCTGAGACGTGCTAGTCCAAGGTAGTCAACAGATGTGACGATCAAGGCTTGTCGGACCGACTTGCACCGCAACAGTTAATACTCAGGTCAGAGGTAGCCTTGATCTGGCTACATGCCCGAGCATACCTGACAACTATACTCAGACTCTACCCTGTTTAAGCCTAGATTAGCCCACATTAACTCTATAACTTATATAGTAGTATAGTATAGAATATTACTAAGTAACGTGCTGTTGTACAGAGTAACTGCCGAGGCTGTAGCTTAGTGCTTAGTATTTTAGATAGGATGGTGATTTTAGTTCAGCTTCTTGGCTTGAAGGTATCGGATTGAATGGATGTTCAATTGAGATTGTTGCGGCAAACGTAGCCGCTGTATATCGATGGAAAACTGCGCTGAGTTGCTTGCTAGCTAGGAGGCGACCATATATACATGCCCTGAGACGTGCTAGTCCAAGGTAGTCAACTGAGGTGACGATCGAGGCCTGTCGGACCGACTTGCACCGCAACAGAGATGAATTATGGGTAGTTATGATGAAAATTAATTATCTTCTCGTTGTTCTACGTTTGAACTGCAGGTACATTGTTGTGTGGTTACACCCAAGCACCTTGTGTTACCATGCTGTGCCGTATGCCTTCCTTTGGCTTATATGGTCGTGAATCTGACAGAAGGAGTGGATAATTCTAATTCTATAGACTTACTATGGAGAGTACCAAAGACACAAACAACCTTAGGAGAACAAATCTACAGAGCAATACTATAGCGCTTGTCTTTTCTGCTTCTACCCAGATAGGTCTTGTATTCCTAGCTAGCTAGATACTATAATTGCACCTTCTTGTCTTTCCGACGTTATCCCTCTCCGTACAGGGCCTGAAGACAACCTACCTGATAACGAGATGCTGCGACCTCCTAACGGGAAAAAATTGGTGCCCTAATCAGGGGGCATGGCATAATGTTTGCCCAAACTGTACTGATAAGGTAGGGTTAGGTTGCCTCCAGGGGCGAAAATAGTAGTTGCTCCTAGGGCAAAGGACAGAAGCTTCCCCAGACAGGAACAGCTAGCTAGAGATAACAAGCCTAGGCATTGCTTGCCCCTATGGGCAAACAGGTTTTTGCTAAGATTCCCGAACTCTGAACCTACTTATAAACGATTTAGTAACCTGCAGCTCTCTTTAGTAAACTCTTGTCTTTAAAAACCATGCTTTTCTTACGTCCTCTTAACTCTAACAAAAGCAAAACTGCAACAAAGCGTAAAGCTGCAAACGTATCAACAGAAATTGGGAAAAAGTAACGTACGGCCGTCAAGGAGATCAGGGATTCCTCCCTGACTATTCCGAGCCCTGTGAAGGCTGTTTTAGCAAAGTAAACGTAGGCTGGCGCATTCAAAGCATGACCACAACATATCTCTTCCGGGAAAGCTGCAAGTGGCACTCCAGAAATGACCTTTCTTCAGCTACATCTTTCTGGACTCAGCGTCCTGTTCTTTTCTTGAGTACCGCAACCTGAGCTAAGCATTACTGCATAATGCAACATGTACAGCGGTACCCCACGTCGTACCCGCCCAAGATTACACAAGAAGTTCAGTATAAGAGATCATCAACCATTGCCCATATCGATCATTAGAGACCATCATACTAACTTTGGAAATAGACGCGATGGTGCATACTACATATGACATGGGAGATATCGACTCATCCCCCACTAAGCGGCGCCCAGGCATTGCTCTCGTCCGGCCCAAAACTCATGATAGCACACAAGAAAACCGGGATTTGTTTAGAAGATGGGCGAAACTTCACGTGCGCGGCACACTTTCCATTTCGAAAGATGAAAACCTGGGCGGAGCATCGAGAGTGCTGGGGTACACCCGCGCAACTGAGGACGATGTAGAAGAGTTAATCTCCGAGTAGTCTGCGCTGAGCGTGAGACTCTATGAACGTTGATTTTTACTTGCGCTTAAGACTAGAGTTCGCGCTCTGCAGTTTTCGCTGCTCGGCTGTTCGCATTATCTCCTCTCGGTTCATCGATCTAGATTCTCCTGACTGGTCTGATTGACCAGCACTTGTTGGCTGCTGGGTCTGCTGCTGGGGAGTTTTTCGCTATTGTTGATACTACTGCTGCTGCTGCTGTTATTGTTGTTGTTATTGTTGACGGTACCGTTGCAGCCCAGCCTCAAATTGACCCGGGGCTACTGGTGGCTGCATCAAGTGCTCCGGCTCAGACTTCCGCTGTGCATGCCGTTGATGTTGCTCTTCAACATTAGCTGGAAGCCTCGAAGAAAATATGCATAGTATGCGCCATCTCTGCCGCCGCCAAGCTCTACAACTATCAAGCGTGCATTCTCATTGTTTGAGGCGTCACTGAGGTGAGATTGGAGAGTCGTACCCTGCTCTGGGAGAGTAACGGAGAAATGTCCGTTCTGGCGGTTTCGAATTGAAAAGAGCACTTCATCGTGAAAAAGCCCTTCAAGCTTCTGTCGATTTATTCTAGCTGTGCTTTAGACGACTCGGGGGCTCTTCCTTTGGTGGCATGGATCGAGGTCGCACACGTGCAACTACACAGATACAGTTATGTGGATACAGTACCATGAGTGAAGATGCGGCATCTTGCACCTAGAGCTGCCTTGATTCACTTACCTGAAGAGTGTCACGCGGGATGTGCACGATTTGTCGTTTGCCAACATCTGAAGCCGCAAAAGTTACTCTCGTGGTGGACGCCATAAGTGATCACATGGCGAGACCGTTTGTGAGGGTAATTGTGTTGCTTAATTCAAATTCTCGCGCAAAGCTCGCAGATGCTGGGGACTTAGGACCATACTATCGTCCATGTGATGGTTGCGCTGCTGCCGTCCTGCCACGTCAGTCATTGTCCGCTGGTGCGACAACACACAGCATGGTATGTAGATATGGTGTGATGAAGCGGAGCGCGTGGTGAATTCTTGCAGGTATTACCCGTCGTCATCGGACGAGCAGAGCTATATATAGACGTACAGCAGATGTTCCTCGGATTGGGTGTGAGGATCTTGTCGAATCTGGCCAATGCAGTTGAAGACACTATCGCCGAGCAAATCCAGCGTTTGATAACGCACGATACAGACTGCTCGTGCAGGCTGACAGCTGATACTGCGGGGTCCCTGACGTGCAGATGGCCGGTAGTACTGATGTCACGGCATATTAGGACCGTTATTGGCAGTGATGTGCAAAATCATACGCGCGTGATCTTGACTCGCTTGACATCGTCCAGGCATTCGCGTGGCACAGTGCCTGTTCCTGGTCCACGGCTCAAATGTTGACGTTGATATACCTCTTTTGGTACTGGTAACAATCTGCAAGGACCCGCAAAAGCCAGATTCTGGCTAGCGGAAGATAATCGGCAGAAAGAAGCCAGGCGATTGTGGGTTCAACGTCACGCTGAGGCTCGACCACATTACCGAGCTCCCAGACGAACATCGCGATCCAGATAGCCAATAGTCTGGGACCTACGGGCGTTCGTGGCCGTCAACGTGGCCATGACTATAACCCAAAGATGCACTAGGCAGAGATGTGGGTTGTAAAGCGGACGATAATGCGGCGTAAGGGCCCTTGCATCCTCTGTATGCTGCGAGAGTCGTCCCGGTGTGCGGACCAGGCAGTGGTGAGAAGGTTTGAAGCCTTGGCGGACTGGAGCAGCTCGTATTTGCAGGGATTGCTGATGGCCCAGCAGGCGGGATCAACCTTGGCAGCTGCAAGCCACATATTGGAAAGAGGCGAAGCAGCGGCCTTAAGCGAGTAAAACAGGAAGAGACATATCGTGAAGAGTGCCTTTGAATGCGAATTGGAGGCTGATAATTTAAAGATATCAGCAAGTTCACCGGGATTCGAAACGCACTCGTCGGCGCATCAGAAGCTTCCCATATGAAGCGAGATTACACACATAGTTATGCCACTTTGGGAATAGAACGTTACTAGTGCTCGGAACATAACCAGATCGACGGCCACAGCCCGCCTTGCCTTCGGTCTTGCAGGCGGCATTGCCGACGCGAGCTGAGGTCAGGGATTACATATCAGCCTTGTGAAGGGATCCAGGGTAGCAGCTCCAGCGCTAGCAGCTTGGCCAAGCAGGCTTGACGGGTCTCAAGTGCGCCCTTTATACGTCGAGTGTCAGAAGCACCTCAGGTAGTGCCGTATGCCCTGCTTTACAATTTCATCGTTGCCTTGCCTTCGTTCCAGGAAGGTGCTGGGAAACGGTAGAGCTCCTGCTGTGTGTCGTCGCGGAGCGCGGCGGATGCGTTGTAAAGCTGCGACCTGAGGCTGAAGTCCTTGGGAGAAGTCCCGACGAAAGCCTCGCGAATCTGGTCAAGTCGTTCGCTTGAGCTCATAGATCACGTGACTAGTGACGGCCTTGGGTCTAGCATTAGCAGGTCTCGACTCTCCAAGCCCTCTCTTCTCTACCAAAAGATCAACCGCGTCCTATTTTGGTCGCCCAAGGCACGAGGCCGCCTCTAGACGCCCTAACCGGTCTTCGCCGCGTCTTTCGACAAGAGGCGCTGGGATTCTCGTATGTGCCGTGTGCTACGTTGACAGTTCAAAGCAGTGTTCAGCTGTGGCTGACTGCGATGTCTCTTTGGTACATTTTCCCGTTCTGCTTTACCTTCCTTGGACTTTCTCGGCCTCTCGTTTTCTCTACTTATCCCAATCGGTATTCTGTTGTTCGCTTGCTCAGACACTTTGTCAGGTCGGGCCAGATCAGAAGAATATGCTCTTGGCGACGGCAGAGCTGATGCACTTTCCCAATTTGCAGCAAGGCTCTGAAGCCTATCGGCGACCTGGTAGCTTCTGCATGCTTCGACCCAGCATAGACAGCCATCGTGGACTCTAGTCTTGCTATTGGTACTCCCGTGTAGCATCCACGCTTTACGCACGGTCCTTCTGCAGCCTGACATTCACTTTCAAGCCTATCTAAGACATGGCTGGACGTGGCGTCTGTCGTCTGGACCAAGATGAGGTGCGGCTATAGGTGTTCAATCACCCTAGACGGGTAGTCTAGCAAACGTGGCTGCCAGGCTTGGCGATATCGCATAACGAGCGTTGTTATGGACGCCGACAAGAAGCTTTCGAGCATCGTGCCATGACCAGCCTGGATAGTCAGGTCGACTGGACCGCCCGAGAACGCCCAACACCATGCAGACGAACGGCCTAAGGCTTCGTGGTATCGAGACTCGATAGATATATAAGTTCATCATGAGATGCCTTGTTCGTATCCTTATCAGCTCAAACATTCTAATACTTGCTCATCAGCATCGAGAATTGCCTCTTTCTGGCTCATTCTTCATATTCGCTATTCGCTATGTGGCAATCACTCTTCTTGAGTATTACTGCCCTCTTCGCTTCACAGGCTTTGGCTGGCGATGGCAAGTGGCTAAGCCCCGAGTACAAGCAAATCTTCCAAACCCCTCTTCCCTTCCCCTCGGACAAGAGGCCCCTCTACACATATACCAACGCTACCACTGGCAACTCCATCGACTACTATGAGATCGACGTCAAGCCTCTTACCCAGCAAGTCTATCCTGGTCTGAAGCCTGCTCGGCTTGTCGGATACGATGGTATGTCTCCCGGTCCTACTTTCCGCATGGAGAAGGGACGTGAGGCAGTTGTTCGGTTCAGGAACCACGGTGATAAGGACCTCTCAGTTCATCTTCACGGCTCCTACAGTCGTGCGCCGTTCGACGGGTGGGCCGAGGATGTGACTAAGCCCAATCAATACAAGGACTATTGTAAGTAGCCATGCAACGTGTACTCTCACTGCCACTAACCTTGCATAGACTATCCTAATCACCAGAGTGCTCGCACTCTGTGGTATCACGACCATGCTGCCCACCACACTGCCGAGAATGCTTACTTCGGGCAAGCTGGCTTCTACATCCTGCATGACCCTGCTGAGGACGCTCTTGGTCTGCCCAAGGGCAGCTATGACCTGCCTCTCGCACTGTCATCCAAGCAGTACAACAGTGACGGAACGCTCTTCGACCCCAAGGATGAGACCAATTCACTCTTTGGCGATGTTATCCACGTCAACGGACAGCCTTGGCCCTTCCACAAGGTCGAGCCTCGCAAATACCGCCTCAGATTCCTCGATGCTTCTATCAGCCGAGCATTCAAGCTTACTTTCGAGGTCGACGGTAAGGCAGTCGACTTTCACGTCATCGGTGCCGATACTGGCCTTCTGACCAAGCCTGTGAAGAGCAACAACCTCGAGATCTCCATGGCCGAGCGTTGGGAAGTCGTCTTCGATTTTGCACAATTTGCCGGCAAGAACGTCACTCTCAAGAATGGCCGCGATGTCCAACACGATGAGGACTACGCTGCTACAGACAAGGTCATGCAGTTTGTTGTTGGTAAGGATGTTAAGGACACGAGCAACAACGGCGACATCCCATCTGCCCTTCGCAATGTTCCATTCCCACCAAAGAAGAGTGGCATTGACAGGAGCTTTAAGTTTGGCAAGTCTGGCGGCGCATGGACTGTCAACGGTGTCACTTTCGCTGATGTCAAGAATCGCATTTTGGCTAAGCCTCAGCGTGGCGCCATCGAGGTTTGGGAGCTCGAGAACTCCAGTGGTGGCTGGTCGCACCCAGTCCATATTCATCTAGTCGACTTCCAAATCCTGTCTCGCACCGGTGGCAAGCGTTCTGTCCTCGACTATGAGAAGGAGGCACTCAAAGATGTTGTTCTGCTTGGCGAGAACGAGAAAGTCACAGTCATTGCACGCTATGCTCCTTACGATGGTGTGTACATGTTCCATTGCCACAACCTCATTCACGAAGACCATGACATGATGGCTGCTTTCAACGTCACTAGCCTCGGTGATTGGGGATACCCTGAAACTACCAAGTTCATCGACCCTATGGAAGAGAAGTACCGCAGCAAGGCCGAGAGCACATCTGACTTTGAGAAGTCAGCCATCATGAACACAATGGCCAATTTCGAGCTTTTGGAGGCTTACGAAAAAGTTGAGAAGCTTGAGGACGCTCTTGAGAGCTACCGCGTCAATGGTCCCCCTAAGACAACCTTGTCCACTGTCACTCGCACATCGGCTTCATCGGCTTCATCAAATTCATTACCTGCTAGCTCGATTGAAGACAACAGTCGGACAACTCCGGCGGCTTCAATAACGCCCCAAGTTAAGGCAGAGGCAGCATCAGCAACGATAACATCAGCCCCTAAGACCACAAGCACCACAAAGAAGGTCGATGACAAGAAGACCAAGACAACATCCAAGAAGTAAAAAGCCAGAGTTATAGATAGCCTATATATAGATGACACTTCCTATACATGTAGCGACGCATTTATGAGTTTATGAGTTACGAATTGAATCCACACACTTCAAACATGTCTTCCGTACGTATCTGCAACCAGTCTGTGAAGAATGCGCCCTTGCTTCCTCTGTGGTAATATAAACCAAATTCATCTTTCGTACTTGAGCACCCTTGTATGCGATGGCTCACTGCCTGCTGCAAGTACATAAAGCTCTTGTGATGTGTTTTGTCACGCAGACATACACGTAACATGGCTTCTTCGAAAGTCAGAGTGCGAAAGGTCATAGGGAAGGACGATCAGTTGGCTTTTCAAGTACACTTAATCCACTGAAAAGCGCATCCCACTCAACTGACACCTTCAAGCATGTGTGCAAGGGAGGATCAATACCATGACATCCACCTCCAACAATGGATCTCCATTCCATTCGTTCAGGCACGCAAAATGTCCGCCTAGTTGGTTGAGTTGCTTCTCGATCGCTTTACCACCTGGATCGACAGCCCTACCCAGCCGCTGTCTCTACCAGACATTCATGATGAACCCTCAGCTCAGCCACAGTCTCGTCAAGGGCGTCGAATATGATAAGGCCAGGCGAGTCGACAGACCAACTTTGGACCCTCTGACACGAGGGTAAGCCCCGAATTGCTGGGATGGCGGCCGGGAAAAACCAGTGTCGAGGCCTTGGAACGAACAGGCTGGTGATTCGGGGCTGGTGGTCAACGGCTGTGTAACAACGTTCTAGGAGTAAGCTAAAGACCATGTAAAGATGGGATTTTGTCCTCTTCCGGTGCCCGAGCGCTCTTTGTTTGGTCGGCGACTCCTAGCGGGCAGCGGGCAGCGGGTACCATGAAAACTGTTGCGGCAGACGTAGCCGCTGTATAGTCGATGGAAAACTGCGCTGAGTTGCTTGCTAGCTAGGAGGCGACCATATATACATGTCCTGAGACGTGCTAGTCCAAGGTAGTCAATAGAGGTGACGATCAAGGTTGTAGGACCGACTTGCACCGCAATAAGAATAAAGAGAGTCGCGCCGAAGTCGTAGCGCTGGGGCGAGAACTCCCACTCCATATTACCAACTTATCGCAACAGATGTGGATTGGGAGGGGCAGCGGAACGCTCCGGATCAAAGTTTGGAGTAAGCCAGTCTAATGTGGATCAGAAGTACCTATATACTGGTAAGCTCGGCAGAGGAATCTGATCAATTCTCACTCAACACTTTCCGACTATCAAAATCATTTAGCTTCAATACAGTTTTCAACCGTACGTGAGAGGTGGTTGTGTGAATGGTTCGCCTTTACCTACTCATTTCAAAACAAGATGTACGTTCGCGCCAACACAATTTCGACGCCCTTGTTCTGTACGCGGACATAGGCTTGCAGCGTCTTCACAAGCTTATCCATCCAAGACGCGGGCAAATTTCTCCTGAGGTGTCCAGTACAGTCGACAGCTTGCGCAATGATCCGTATGCACTTGAAAGAGCCGAGCTGAGAGAAACACCATTGTTGCGTAAGGATCGCGCCATCGCTGCAGCCCTCTTCGGTACATTCGAAGTTGCACACGATTTGGATCTTGGAAATGACGACTCATTCATACGGCATGATTGCTGATAGCAAACGATGTAGACTGACACAGTTGAGAACTGAGAAGATGCCCAGTTTGAACGGAAGGAGCTGCGTCTCAGCGCAGATCTGGCGACAGCTTTGAGCCAGTGCGACTGTATCGTGGTGTCTGGTTTGGTTTATCGATAATGTCGTCCTGAAACGTGTATCGTATCTGGTATTCCATGTCTGACCTGCAAGCAAGTATGTGAAGATCTGGATGTGGAGTTCAGGTGGTAGAAGTAGCAGAGGCGAACTCTGCTGGTTCCGCGCTGAGCTGTAGTATGTCAGCGCCAAATTATTGGGTTCCTACGATTGGGCTAACATTTCAAAGGCCTTTCTGTCTGTTTTCTTGGCCTTGCCTGGCTTCAGCTTGGAGCGTGATTTGTTCTGTTCGCTGGCTGCGGTGGTATGTAAGAAATACTGAGTGCCAAGAGATGTCAGCGGCAACAGTAGAACTGTTGTAGCCTCCAAAATTATTATCAGATTGCCGTTGACTGCCTCCAAATGTTCCAGCCTCTTGTCTTAGTTCGTCGCCCGGTCGTTCATGCTAGTGTCCAAGATCCCAAGCTCGAGCTGCTTCTGCTATCGTCAATCGACCACTGATCTCTGAGCGTCTTACAACGGAACTCCTAATTAACACCAATCCGTGACCGCCAACCTTGCAATATTTACTCTTGCGTCGGTTCCTTCGCCGAAGACGCATCTTTCCCTTCGTCCACTTCGTCCATCTCGTCCACATTGAATGATCCCACCTCAGCAGGAGTACACTCTACAACAAGAATAGCGCCAGTAGCCTCGATAGTTCGACTGAGTTGTTGAGGAAGAATCTTGGCTATTGCTTCGTATGCATCGTGGTGTGTGTCAGTGACCTGATGAACGAGTACCGTAATCCGGGTCAAGGCCGGAAAGGTCTTGTTGAGATCCAATTCGCTGCCGGTGAGCTTCGAGGCGTACTTCCAGGCGGGATAGTTAGGTCCCTGACAGTCCAGCCGGAGGTGTGTGACTTGCTTCCGTTGGTATGTGCCGAGAGACTTGACTGACCGCTTCAGATACGCCAGGTCTTTGTAAGCGAAGGTGGCATTGTTCAGAGCATATAGAACAGCCTCAGAGTAGACCTGACGGCAGGTACGAAGGAGTGCCATCCTGTTGCGGGGCTCCGCAGCAGATGGCGCGAATCTGTAGCTCCCGCTGTAGTACATTCCGCTAAAGCACATCGCTAGGTAGGTCTGGCCTCCAAGGATATGCTTCCAGATGTAATCACGAATCTCGGTCGGCAGGCGTAGTAGTGGTGACTTCTGGTTCTCCTTGACCCTGCGCGCGCAAACATGTGAGTGACCTTGCAACAAACAGTAACGTGCACTGACTAACAGCTGCCAGCCGTTGTGGAGTTACACACATTCTTTTCTCTGCGCCTTTCGGAGCGACGTTCAGCACGCCACCTCGAAACCTGTGGAATCCACGGGCGGGCCTTTTGATGACTCGATTGGTTCCTTCCTTCCTCGCGCTCAACTGCGTCTGCTTGTTCGGTTCTTTTGGCGCCATCAAGTTGGAATGCTGCACTGAGTTGGCATTAGTGTAAAGGGACATTCTGAAGGGCTAAGAGAGTCTTTAAACATCCAGGATCAGGCCAAGTGGGTCCCCGCGAGTCTTGCGGGTAGGTAGTGAAAGATGAATGCCATAAATTCTAGCTTACAAAATCCTTTCCGCTCCTTTTGGCATCACGTTGAGAAATCCCCTACGGAAATTATGATAGCCTCGACTCGGTCGCTTTATCGTCTAGTCGCTCTTTCTGTAGCGCAATGCCTGATCAAGCTTTGTGCCAATCACTTTCTTGCGGGGCACTATGCCGATTTGTCGAGTGAAATGTTGACGGTGGAAGAAGCGGTTGAGAACATTGAGACTCCTGTGAGTCATATGGAAACAAAGCTCTTACACTAGTGCGCTGTTCTGAGTGAAGCTTCAGGCAAGTGAAAAGACGACGACCAATGAATAGGTCTCAATCAACAACTGGCGTTTGCAGGGACGAGGCAGAGCAAAAGGATTAAGATTCATAGATTTTCGCTATACCAGCTAATTTGTATTGAGCTTCTCCCTACTTGAGGGTGAGCACGCCAGCTTTCTACTCTCACATTTGGCGGATAAAAGGTTTGTGCGCTTCGCTCAGAGGCCAGAAGGAGTTCGAGCGAACCATTAGAAATCACGACCCTAGCTATGATGTGTTAAATCCAAGCGACATGAGCCTGTTGAGTGTAAATAAGACGTGCATCGTATGAATGCCAGCCCAAGGTCTCGGCCTGATTGCAGTTACTGTGCGCTTGAGCGTGCGGACGACATCAGATTATCCTCAATCGTCCGATTTTGTCAGATGCTAACCAATTCTTTACATATTTTAGTAGAAGGTTGCGGTAATCGAGTCAATTCGAATACACTTACTCAACCAAGAACCGAGAACCAAGAGTCTGGCATTAATCCATCTCCTTCCTCCACGATCAAGCCAATGCCAGCATCGTCCAATAATGTTGCGTGATCCTCGCGAAACTGGGTCTCGATGTCTTTTAGAGTAATGGATTTCTCCTGGCCAGCCCCGCCGTGCACGATGAACTGAAACGTCTTCACAGCAGGGTAGATGCTGATGCTTGAAGACATCTGCCAGAGATGAGTAAGCTTGTGATCGTCAGGTGAGTAAGCTTCGAGCCGAATAGTGTTGATCTGCTTGCGTTGGTACGGTTTGAGCTGCTTCGTGACCTTTTTTACTGCCCAGGTAGACAAGAAGGCGAAGGTGTTGAGGCGGATGGGCATGGATGCAGCTTCAGAGTATATCTGGCAGCAAGTGCGAAGAAGAGACACGCCGATGCTGGGCTCATTGGACGGAGGTACAAAATCCATCGAATACTTCCGGCCGGACCGTTTACCGCGTACCCTGAACACGATATTTCCAAGAGTATACTCCCAGATACGGTTACGGATTTCAGGGGGTAGGCGAAGCAGCGGCGAGTGCTGGTTATTCTTGAAACTGTATGTCTTGTCAGCAACTTGCCTCGCTAAAGAGAGTTCTGTCAACTTACAGGTCTTTCTCATCACCCTTGGGTGTGACATTTAGCAGCCCATTCTTGTACTTGTGGTAGCCACGGACAGGCCTCTTGACGACATTTTTGCTTTGGCTGGCGATGCCCTTCTTCGCTGGCTTTGCAGTTGCGGTTGGCTTGCGGGGAGCCATTTCGATCGCAGTGTAGCACGACGTCTGTGCCGCAGCGAGATGTAGAGGAGAAGGATGATGGCAGCCAATGATGTAGAAGCGGCCAGGCAGGCGCGGGTCTGCTCGGGTGTGCCAAGCGGGCACTCAAAGTGAAGGTGAAGTGAGAGACGCTTCGAAGGAAACCCGCTGTAAACAATGATGATGCAATGGCCCAGACGACCACTGTATGTGCAGAGCAAAAGATTGACGCATGGGGATGGGAAGACAAGGTGATAGTAAGACCATAAGTAAGGACATGCATTACTGGTAGCGCTATCGCACTCGAGGACCTTGCGAAAATTAATCGCGGTGCTATACGATTCAGGCAGTCGTGACTACAACTATGGGACCAAATAGTTACGATACTAAATCGAATTCGGGGCTGGACATCGTCGCTACGGTGTTTACGTGAGGCAATTGTCTTTTGAGGCTGCTCACAATACTGGTCGTGACGCTCGACGCACATTCATCATCCAGCCCATGTGATCGAATACACGAATATCGATCCTTTTGAGGAGTGTCAGCTTATGCAGATTCCCATTATCCAACTGGTAGTCCCAGGTCAGCTCAATTAAACCCAGAGCCAGCCCGTCGATCTGGAGCGCGGTTAATCGGGATCGTCGGTAATATCCTAACCACTTCTCCAGCACTTTGCAATCGGCTGGAGCTGACAGCGTGAATGCGTTGAGCTTGCGACGCGCAGCTGTAAGCTTTTGGGCAACCAGGTTCCACTCCATCCAATACCAATGTAGTCTGCATAATCTCGGAGCTGCTGTTGTTTGATAGCAATCTTGCACCAGAGTCGGGTGTGGAGATCAACTTCCAGTAGATAATTCATCGCGAGTCTGATCGCCACGTCAATGTCCATAGCCACATGTTTAGAACAGGAACAGAGGCGTACGCAGCGAGTGCAGTCAGAGAGAAGATTATAAAAGACTCGTCCTCGAAAGTGCCTCGGCGAATCGAAGAGTCCGACCGCAGAGCAGTCTAACATCCTCAACTCAAGCCCGGCTACTTCTCCGCCTAAGGATGACGATGAAGATTTTCATCATTGCACGACTCACACAGGGAGAAGGATGTACGTACACTGTAATATTATTTCGCGCACTGCAGCCGCAGTCATACAATGGCTTGAAGCTCAGTAGTCCAGATCCACGGTATCGTCCTTCTGCACATCTGGTCCCTTGGCTTGGTGCCAAGGATCCCACTCGTCGCTCTCGTCGTCTTCATCGCGGTTGAGTTTCCGGGTCTGCTCACGTTTGAACCGCTCATCTCTCTTCTTCGCCTTGTACTTGTCGCGGTTCCTCTTATTCCTGGCTTTCGTCCTTGGGCTACTCGTTGCCCACTGCTGGGACTGGGATTTCAGCTTGTCGACACGGCCAGTTGCAACTTTATCTGTTTCTGGTCCCGCAGCGGGAGTAGCTTGTGAAGCCGAAGATTCCACCTTAGATGAACCCTCTGCGACGGACTCCTCGGCTTCTCCATCTTCGGCCTCTTCTTCCTCTGGACCGTTGCCGTTTTCGCGTTTTAGCCTGCGCTTGCGAATGATAGCCTGGATCTCGGAGTGTCTGAACATAGCAATTTGCTCATCGGTGAGCGTCCGCGGTGTGCTATCTTCGTAACAGCCGAGCGCATTCGCCTCTTCTTCGTAGCACTCTTCAGCTGGCTCACTGTCGACGCTACTCAGAATGTGCTCGGGTGCAGGCGCGTGCGGGAAGTGTGTCGTGTGAAAGTCACGCAGATCATCCTGAAATTCTTAGCATGATATCTCAAACAGGTGTGTGAGCTTACCACCGTAACCGTGGGGAGAGGAAGATCCATAGCGGCCATATGAAGTCGAGCAATATTCGGCGACACCCTCAGCGGGCGGTTGTCACCTTTTCGGAATCATGGTGCGGAAGGTACAAACTTGGAGGCTCACACCTCGCTGATCTTCCGCGCATTCATGTGTGCTTGGCATTTCCGCGGTGATGACGATGACCTCTACCCCTCAGCGCGGTACAACACTCAACATTACCAAGGTGAATACCAGACAATAATATGAGGTCTGTCTTATATTCCTTTGCAAGTGCCTGCCTCTTCCTCGCATGCGCCGCCGAATCGCGATCCTTTAAGACTATCTCGAAGTCTTTCAACGAGCAGTCGCCTCTCCAAGACTGCATCATGCCCTCGTCGAACGATGCCTCCGGGATCATCATATCAGATGTGATTGGAAAGGTGCAGGATATTGCGATCTTCAGTGATCTGACGCGCAACGTCGATGCCGTGTCTGGTCGCCTTGAAGACGCAGCGCAGAATGCCACGGTGCTCGCGCCAGACAACACTGTCATGAAGAACCTGAAGAGGAAGCCGTGGGAAGACCCGCAAGACTACAATCAGTTCGGCGCGCAGGCGTATGAGGGTAGCAGCGGCTTAGATCGCGCGCACAGCAACCTCGAGCGGTTCGTCAAGAGGCACATCGTTGCCGAGAGTCCATGGGAAGAAGGCAGGAAAGTAAAGACGCTAGCCGGCAACGAAGTCTGGTGGGAGTCCAAGGACGGTCAGAAGACAGTAAGTAAGAAACCCCGCCCGCCCAAGACAATTTCCTTCGCAACACCACATTTGCACGCTCAATTTTGAATATGAATCTTACAACTGCCTTCCTTTTCATTAAAAAACGGTGAGGTGGCCGAGTTGGTTATGGCGCCAGGTTAAGGTCCATTCCTTAGCATTGCTGAGCAATCAGCTTCCTGGTCACGAAAGTGGCGCGGGTTCGAGTCCCGTCCTCATCAGCATTCGTTTGACGAAAGTCGAGCACCCCAGGATATTCTTTTTGTTTTTTTGCTGAAGTGTGGGCGTGGGGTGAAGGTCCCAGATTGCGCTGCTCCAGCCCTAACCAACACTATCACTTCATAAGAGTACAACAGCGTTAGCGAATGCTCAAATCCTCTCTTTTAACAAGGCTGTTCTCTAGTGCTTGTTGCACGCTACTTTTTGGCCTTTAGACACTTGCTGACGAAGTCTGCAGATCCAGCCCGGCAACATTGAGGTCACGAGTACTCCTGACAAGGTCGCGAACGGCGAGATCTGGGTCCTTGGGGGATCTCTGTCATAGCACTCTCGCAAAGTCTTTCCTCGCGGCATTCGGACTTCGCTACCACAAGTTTACAACACCAGTCCCTTATCAGCAATCCTATGCGTAGAAACAGTCTTGGTCACGTAGTCAATGTCCTCAATGCGACCAACATTCTTCAACACCAACCCCTTACACATCCGCTTCATATTTGCGCATGACATAACGATCCATTGGTAAGCTGTGGGGCGTCAGCTTTCCGAAGAAGCTACCCCATCTAGGCAGTCAGCTCTGGAGCTGTACACCCCCACTTTACACGTACATAAGCACGACGAGCGTCGCAATCATGATCAACAGGCCGATATTATCTTTTCTAGCTTACGAAGCACTGAGCAGTTCACTATGAAGTTCGAATCGGGAGATCTGGCCATCTGCGATGTATGCGGGACCCAGTACGATGTTTCACTCTTGTCACCACCAAAGGAGTGTCGAGTCTGTCTTGTAAGTGACGTCAAACGAACTATGCCCTCTAAACACTTCAGAATTCCGTAAGCGTTACTCTATTCGAACACTATTCCCATCGGTGAAGCTGCAAACCACTGACATCCCTAGGACCCACGTCAATACGTCCCCGCCCACGGCCAAACCTGGACCAGTCTCAACGACTCACAAGCCACTCAGAAAAACGAGTTCAAGACAGACGAACATGATCCTCGCATCCACTACATCACTACCGCGCCCCTGACACCTGCAGAGCTCTCTCCCGGCCTCAGCGACAGCACAACAACCCGCAAACAACTCGGCATCGGCGAGCGCGCCATTCTCCTCCAAACACCCCATGGCAATGTGCTCTGGGACCTAATTGCCTTCTTGAACCAAGAAACCATCAATTTCATCAACGAGAAGGGGGGGTTAAAGGCGATTGTGATCAGTCACCCGCATTTCTACACCACGCACCTCGAATGGGCTAGTCAGTTCAAATGTCCAGTATATGTAGCGTCCGACGATGCGGAGTGGTTGAACAGGAAAGACTTGCACGGAGTGAGAAAACTGTACAAAGGCGCAGAAGAAATCGTCCCAGGCGTGACGGTGATCCAGTGCGGCGGCCATTTTGACGGGAGCAGCGTGCTGCACTGGGAGAAGAAACTCTTCATCGCAGACACCATGATGAGTGTGCCCGTACGTCTCCCTCAAGTCATATCTGCCCTTGTGCTCCCCGTTCGGATTACCAAGAGCTCACTCGCATACTAACACGCCCAGTCCGGCTTCTTCAACGCCGCGCAGCCGGCCGCCCACCCGCTCACTGCCAGCTTCTCGTTCATGTGGAGCTACCCGAACATGATCCCGCTGCCGCCCGCCAAGATCCACGGTATCTGGAAAGCGCTCAGGGCGTTTGAGTTCGAGGAGACGTATGGCGGGTTTCCGGGGCAGAACGTCGCTCGGACGGGGCTGAAGTGGCAGGTGCTCGAGAGCATGAAGGTGTTTCTGCGGGTAGGCGGGCACGAGCGCGCCGGCATCTACCAAGAAGAGTACTAGATTGCATGAGCAGGATCAGCGAGGCGGAAAGGAGTCAGAGGCGGGTGTGTATCGTAGCCAAGCAGGGAATCAGGGAGCAGGGAAATCGCATTTTAATATGCTTGCTCAACGTAAAATATGCATGCTAACCTAACGCCGTGACAGGAAGTGCACAGTACTATCGTCGCTTCTCCTTGCCCTCGCTCATCGCCTTGGGCCGCACATTCTGCAGCCGCAGCCACTCGCCGTTAAACGCATTCGTGAGCCACCACGTCAGCTTGTCGTACACGATGCGATTCGCGTTGTGGAAGTAGATACTATGATCCGAGTCCGGGAAAACATGGACGTCGTAGTTCTCGACGCCCGCGACATCCAACTTGTCGAGGAGGGTCAGTGTGTTCTGCATGTGCACATTATCGTCTGCGATGCCGTGCATGACCAGGAAGCGGACGTTTTGGCTCAAGGAGTTGACGTCTGAGATCGAGGTATTGTCGTATCCGGCGGTGTTGTGTTGCGGCGTGTGCATGTAGCGCTCGGTGTATATGGAGTCTGTTGATCAAATCAGCGATGCAAGCAAAGGATGAAAGGAGAGGGAGACGTACCGTAGAACCGCCAGTCCGTGACGGGCGCAACAGCCATCCCATACTTGAATGTCTCACCTGCGTCCGTCTCAAGCGTCTTCAGCGTCTGAAACCCGCCGTACGACCACCCCCAGATCGCCATGCGGTCTTCATCGACGTATTCCTTCTTCGCCCAGATCTTGCCCGCCGCGATCTGGTCGAGTGCTTCATAGTGCCCGATGTTACCGCGCGTTATGCAGCGCAGTTTACGCCCGAGGAAGCCTGTGCCGCGGCCGTCGACTGTAACGACGATGTAGCCTAGCGACGAGGCTATGAACGACTCAAAGTCGACCGTGAACTGGCGATCAACTTGCTGGCTGCCAGGTCCGGAGTACTGGTAGAAGAGCACGGGGTATTTTTTCTTTTCGCTGAAGTGCGGCGGTCGGCGTTCGAGGACGTTGAGTTTGAAGCCGTCTACTTCGATGGTTTGATACTTCAGAATGGGGAGCTCGTGGGCTGCAGCGAAGCGCTCGAGGGATTTGTTTTCTTCGAGGACCTTCTCAAACTTCTCAGAGCTGGAGGGCGTGGAGATGATTTTCTGCCAGGGGATGCCGGGGCCCTTGTAGCTGATCAGAGCGAAGGAGCCGCCTTTAGAGAAGGATGCAGAGTGGTAGCCTACTCCGCTGTTCTCGATGACTTCTTGCTTGCCGGTACCGTCGAGCTTGACGGCGTATGCATGGCGCTCGGTCGAGTCGTGCTCGGTGGAGATGTAGTAGACAAGGTTGTTCTTGAGATCGATACGCGATGGCGCGTCTACAACCTCCCACTCGCCCTGTGTGAGCAAGATAGGCTTAGCATTTTCCAGAGGTGTGAAGTAGCCAATGTGGTCGTAGCCTTCGTGAATGATAGTGTCAACATAGCCATCGTGAGGGCGGCCGTTCGATGGATCGGCAGGGACGAAAGTAGTTGTGTGCGACACTTCCATCCATCCACCATCCAGCTCTGCAACGTTCTCGGTCCTGATAGTCTTGCCTGTGCGCTTCTGCACATCCATAAGGACAAGCTTGAGCGTGTCGCTTTCGCGATTTGTCTCGCGAACAAGAACCTGCTTCGTGGACCCAGCCCAGACAATCTCGGTGATAAGGCGGTTGTCATCAGCGAAGTCGTCTTCGATCTCGATGTTGAAGACCTCGCGCTTCTCGACGTCGTAGAACTGAAGAGATACAATAGGATTGGGTGCGCCAGCCTTGGGGTACTTGATGTCGCGAACCTCTGGATAGTTCTCCTCACCGGACTTTGGGCGCTCTCCGCTAGGACGGGAGAGGAAGTACTGCACCGGGTACGTAGGAACAGTTGACTCATCTGTGCGAAGGAAGGCGACGTACTTGCCGTCCTCAGACCACCACGTCGCGCTGTCGCCCTGGAAGACCTCTTCTTCGTATACCCAGTCTGGAACTCCGTAGAAGAGCTCGGCGCCACCATCTTGCGTAATTGGAGTGACTTTGTTCGAGTCAAGCTTACGAATAAACATGTTGTTGTCACGGGTGAAGACGACGGCGTCCGATTGGGGTGACCAGGATGCAATCTGGATCCTAGCATTCGGGTTCTCGGGATCAAGAGGCTCGCCTGTCTGTGTTGCAACATCGAAGATCCAGTACAGGCCGGTGGAAGAGTGTCTGTAGATCTTCTGGTACCCGGACTGAACAAGCACCTTCTTAAAGTCTTTGCTCGGCGTCACCGCGCTGGGGTAGATGTACGAGTCGCCGACCTTGAAGCTGCTCTCCTTGATCAAAGTGGTATGTCCTCTACTATCCTTCTTGTCCTTGTTCCTAATATCCTCAACGACAAGATAGTCTTTGCCAGCAACGCCCTTCTCGAGCAGCAAACCGTCCTCGCCATTTGGTCCTGCGATCCACGACACACTCTGTGTGTTCGCGTACCACTGGCCGCTCATGACCTGATCGAGGGTGACTTTCTTTCCTGAGCCCTTTGTAGAGCTCGCCAGAGGATCGTGTGGGCGTGTAGATACGTGCTTGTAGTTGCCGTTGTACAGGAACGACACCAGCGCCAGGCCCCAGCCAATGACGCATATCGTGGCTACAATCCATAGCCAGCGTCGTGCCTTCTTGTCAACCGGTTTGAGAGGTTCGAAACGTCCGTCTTCGATGTCCAGCTGTTCGCGCGCACGCCCGGGCACGTACTCGTCATCATCGCGGTACTTCTCGTTCAGCCCGGGCTGCAATGCGCGGTTTGGCGGGCCGTCATTGATGTGTTCGAGCACGAGGGACATGGTGGATATCGAGGACCCCGAGGCTTCCGAGCCATCTTCTGACATTCGCGCTTTCGACTCGTGCCCTCTCAAGAGCTCCGCCTCCTCCTCGTTTGTGGCGCGCTCGCGCGGCATGATAGCAGCGTTGTGGTGGTACAATAGTGTCAATTATGTCATGATATGTGACGAAGCGAAGGACAGCGGTGTGCAGTTACAGAGGAAGAGTCGTCTATGAAGGCGCAGCTGAGGGTGATCTAGCTGGCCAGTGCTCACGTTGCGGAGGCGGAGACGCGGAAGTGCCCTGAGTCGCCGAAACTACCAAGCCGCCCTTTGACACGTGGTTGAGCTTCACAAGTCCTATTGCCAGACAAAGAATGCGATGAACGATTTTCTGTTTAGACCCTTTTACAGGCCATCAACTTGATTATCGGATAATGCGAAGGACCGCCCTGCATCTTTGCGCCACTTCACTCGCAGTCAGGAATGCGCCTCAAGAAATGCGCCCGGTTGTATGCGTGCTAATATGAGAGCCATCGGTAACAGTCCAACGTCGAGTTCGTCAACGGAATCTAAAGATTCTGATCACCTCCAGGCTGGGTTCAGTAGCTGTTGTTACGTGCTCTCCCAAGAGTGAGTCTGGGATGGGTAGTTCAGCCTTGAGCTACAAGCTCAATTTTAGTGGTGGGATTGGGGGCACATTCTCTAGCTGAAGAGTTGTCACACTGCGTGTTGCTATCGCAGCCTGACCTATCTGCCAAGCAAGCTGTCACTGTCGCCATACTACTGCGACAGAGGGCCAAGATAATCCTGCAATAGATTAATGCATTGAAACCATACGAACGCCAGAAGAGTGGATAACATACTTCTTTCATCGTCCCTACCGCGTACATCTTGTCGACCTCAGAACGGATACCTTTGATCTTAATGCGGATATTTGTGCCCTTCTCGATAACCTGATCTGCACCGTCCGTCCACTGGGGCGGTGCTGCGTTGCCCTCGAACTTGATGTCAGAGGGAATCATCTGCCAGAGGTCAGTGTGTGCTTTAGCAAGAACGATAGCCAGAATCCGTACGTTGCGTCCAACGAAAGCTTGCAGTGAGCCACAGTCCACGAAGAAGCCAGAAGGCAGGATCGACGTTACTATCCCGTCCATCTGCTTATGGTCAGTCACTGTACGTCTGCCGTCCATGCTAAGCCCACGTACCACCTCGCCCTTGTACGGCCGCCATACAATGGCCTTGTAGTGCACTGTGTACTCGGCGGAGCCAGACCCAGGCATCACCTGGCCATCTGAGATATCGAAAGAGTCCAATATGCACACAATTGTGTACTTTCCCGTACTCGAGCCCTCCTCCTTCTGCAGAAGCTCCTTGTGAATGTGCGAACGGATGAGCGGACCGAAGTACGAAGGGTGTAGCTGGATCGTCTTTTCGAGCTCCTTGAGGAAGAACATGGCTGGGTGCGAGGGATGGGTGGTTGCGCGGTCGCAGAGTGACTTTTGTTGGCACGAATGAACAGGTGAAGGAAACGAATACGGGCGCGCTCGTATTATGCGACTCTAATATCTTCTTGCGTGCGCTGTAACGACTGTAGTGAGCGACCGGCGCGCTAGCCTCGAGTAAGAGGCGCGTACCACCAGCAAAGCTATCCTCTTTGGTCCACGCTCGAGCAGTCTATGCGCAAAGTTCGCAGTGTGGTCGCGCCAGCTGCCGAGGGCGATTGCGGAGCCAGGAGATCGTGGGTGGTGGATTGCGGGGATTGGAGAACAATGGCGTAAACTGCTCTGGGTCGCGACAGCCCTGAAAGTCGCGCCTGCCGCCGATCAGAAACTCCGGCTCCGGCTCGCAGTCCAGCCCCACACCGGGCATGCCGTGCAACCAGTCACTCTGCATACTGTTTTGCTTATCCTGTGCGATTGCGGTTGGAAGCGTAGGATCTCGTGAGCACGCCAGCAGACCCCCTCGGCCGTCGACATCCCCCAAGAGATGGTGCTAGTTTCTCCCACACCTTGACACGCGAGAAAGCACCGCATCGGGCACCATGTCTCTGAACCTGGAGAAGCAGCTGCGCTTCGTACGTCATACGCGAGGACTGAGATGATGGTGATCAGTACTGACTGCCGTACAGTATGGCGCATACCACCACAATCCCGTGGGTGCAACCCCTTCCAGCGGCCTTTCACATGTCAACTGACGTCGCTTTTCGCCCAGGTCAATGTGGGGATACACGTCCTCTGTGTGCCTCCGATCCTGTTGACGGCGTTCATGCTCGTAAGACCCAGCGCTGAATATTCTCGACGGCCAGCTCATGTACACCCAGCTCACGAACACACCCGCCGTCCCGCTGCCCTCGTGGCTGTCGATACCCAACCTGCCCCTCAATGTCGGCACGTTCGGCGCAGTCCTCTACTCGACCCTCTACATACTCATGGAGCCGGTGGCAGGAACGATGCTTGCGCCCATCCTGATCGGTGCCACCGCGTACGGCAACCACCTCACAACGACCTACGGGGCCATGGCAAACTACTGGGCAGGTGGGATCAACTTTGCATGCTGGATCGCGCAGTTCATCGGACACGGCAAGTTCGAGGGCAGGGCCCCGGCGCTGCTAGACAACCTTGTGCAGGCGTTCTTCCTTGCTCCGTTCTTCGTCTGGTTCGAGATCCTGTTCTCCCTCGGCTACCGCCCTGAGCTCAAGAGCCGCATCGATAAGGCTGTGGAGGAGGACATTGAGAAGTTCAAGAAGAGCAAGGGACAGAACGATAAGACTCAGTAAGCATGGGAACGCGAGAGGCTGGCCAGCGAAGAGTAGGGCCCGTTGCTTAGAGAGGACTGGGAGGTGAAAAGGTTACTGAGAAGATATGGCATAAAGGGCAGGACTGAGCAGGAGAAAGCCGCAGCACAGCATTGCGTGGGAGTCAGGTGTACCGGCGTCCAGGTACATGCACATATGGTGGACGTGGAGCTTGTTCGGGATAGCATTTGCAGCGTGAATTTAGCGTCCATATTTGCAATTATAATGCAAGATTGCCATGCGTATCGAGCGAACGAGTTATATGCTTGGATTCCGCGAATAAATTAGTGTTGGAGAGGGATGTGACCTACGTTGCTGAAGCAAGGTGCTCGAACTTTGAGGGTCGTCAAGCTGGGAGCTGTCAGTCCGAGATGTACCGAGCGTGCAACTGCTCATTGCATGTGCGGCCATGGCAAAAAGCACAACACACCTGTCAAACTGGCGCCCGGTAGGAATTGAAGAAAGCATCCATCCAGCCGTGAATACGAAAGTGTGCATTACCTGCTGCGATGTTGGCGATGGGAAAACCACCCCGTGTTTTTGTCGTCGCCGAACTAGGGAAGGCGCGGTCTAGCGCGGGTTGCGCTTTCCTCCCGGGGACCGCTCAAGTCTTTTCCTCAGAGCTCCATCTCCTACTCCATCAACCTCTCCCCTCCTCCCTTCCTGCATCAATCTCAATTGGTTGCAGAGCAATCTCAATAGACTCTTGAGCACTGCAGTCATGTTCTCAAGGGCCATCCGCCAGTCCAGCCGCCGGGCCGCCGCAATCTCTGCCTCGAGCAGGATTGCTTCGGTAAGTCCATCGCAACTGCCAGCCATTGCGCCTGCCGCCACCTCTGCCATCGCCTGCAGCTCGAGGACCCGACCACCGATGCCATTGGCGCTGCACTGAAGCTCTAATGACGATGGAGTCGGGGCTGCAGCGCGTTGTGCTGAGATGGCGATGGGAGCTCCCCTCTGCCGGGCCAAGCCTCGCACCCAACACCAGTACTGACGAATCTGCCACTACAGGCCCGCGCTCCCGCGTTCACCGCCGCCCGCGCCTACGCATCCGATGCTAAGGCCACACCCACCGAAGTCTCCTCCATCCTGGAGCAGCGCATTCGTGGTGTCCAGGAGGAGAACTCGCTCGCCGAGACCGGTCGTGTCCTCTCCGTCGGGTACGCCGCTTCGCATCACCGCGCCATCGCGACCATCGCGAGAGCCATCCGCTGACTGGGAGACAACAGTGACGGTATCGCCCGTGTCCACGGCATGAACAACGTACAGGCTGAGGAGCTCGTCGAGTACGCCAAGACCCCAACTCCTGCACGCCAGCAGCGCAGCTAACGCGTTCCCAGGTTCGCCTCCGGTGTCAAGGGCATGTGCATGAACCTCGAGGCCGGCCAAGTCGGTGTCGTGCTTTTCGGTTCTGACCGTCTCGTCAAGGAGGGCGAGTCCGTCAAGCGTACCGGAGAGATTGTGAGTAGCAGCGAGGGCAATTGCGCAGGAGCCGCCCGCTAACAATTGCAGGTCGATGTCCCCGTCGGCGAGGCTCTTCTCGGCCGTGTCGTCGATGCCCTCGGTAACCCCATTGACGGCAAGGGTCCCCTCAAGACCACAGAGCGCCGCCGTGCTCAGCTCAAGGCCCCCGGTATCCTGCCCCGTCAGTCCGTCCGCGAGGCCGTCCAGACTGGTCTCAAGTCCGTCGACGCCATGGTTCCCATCGGCCGTGGTCAGCGTGAGTTGATCATTGGTGACCGTCAGACTGGTAAGACTGCCGTCGCTCTCGACGCTATGCTTAACCAGGGTGAGTACTCCGAATCTTTAGCCTGCGCGGCAGACAACTGACATTTGTCGAAGGACGTTGGAATAAGGGATCAGACGAGAAGAAGAAGCTCTACTGCATCTACGTCGCCGTTGGTCAGAAGCGATCCACCGTCGCCCAGCTCGTCAAGACTCTTGAGGAGAATGATGCGATGAAGTACACCACCATCGTTGCCGCCACTGCTTCCGAGGCCGTAAGTCACCCACCACCCATACGTCCATCAGTTAGCTAACTCACCTCTAGGCCGTAAGTCACTCACCACGCATACACCCATCATCCAGCTAACTCATTCTAAGCCCTTGCAATATCTGGCACCCTTCACCGGCTGCTCTATGGGAGAGTGGTACGTAGATATCTCGAATTTGCGAGATTCCTCGAATTTGCGGGTTTCCAAATACTGACTAACTCATAGGTTCCGTGACAACGGCAAGCACGCCTTGATCATCTACGACGATCTGACAAAGCAGGCCGTTGCCTACCGTCAGATGTCGCTGCTTCTCCGTCGTCCCCCTGGTCGTGAGGCCTACCCCGGTGACGTCTTCTACCTCCACTCTCGTCTCCTCGAGCGTGCCGCTAAGATGAACGACCGCCTCGGTGGTGGTTCCCTCACTGCCCTGCCCATCATTGAGACCCAGGGTGGTGACGTTTCCGCTTACATTCCTACTAACGTCATTTCCATCACTGACGGCCAGATCTTCTTGGAGGCTGAGCTGTTCTACAAGGGTATCCGCCCCGCCATCAACGTCGGTCTTTCCGTCTCCCGTGTTGGTTCCGCTGCCCAGGTCAAGGCCATGAAGCAGGTCGCTGGTTCCCTGAAGCTCTTCTTGGCCCAGTACCGTGAGGTCGCCGCCTTCGCCCAGTTCGGTTCCGACTTGGATGCCGCCACCAAGCAGACCCTCGCACGTGGTGAGCGTCTGACTGAGCTCCTCAAGCAGAAGCAGTACAGCCCCATGGCCGTCAACGAGATGGTTCCTCTGATCTACGCTGGTGTCAACGGTATACTTGACAAGGTGCCCGTCAACAAGATCCTGCAGTGGGAGGCCGACTTCCTTGCTCACCTTAAGAGCAACGAGTCTGACCTGCTCGCCACTATCGAGCGGGAAGGTGCTCTCAGCAAGGACCTCGAGTCCAAGCTGAAGGAGATTGCCACGAGCTTCACCAAGAGCTTCACGGCATAGATGACACGGGGTTGAAGAGTGGGTACTCTCTATTCCAAGGTTCTTGCGGGGTCAAAATGTGCTGATTGGTCTCTGAGAATAGATGTACAATAGAAGATGCGTCCTCGCCATCAGCTGTTTCAATATGAGAAGGTTCTTTTTCGTCATTGCAGCGACTGGTGGGCGATGCGTGTCTTACGATGTCGGATACCTCTTCGGGCCCAGCTCTGTGATCCGAGATGCTTTCCTCTGTTAGCGGTAGATATGCGGATGGGCGGATGCGGACCCTGTATATGGCGAATCAATTTCCTGTTCTGTTACGTCTTGGTTTAACGTGAGAAGATGTGGATCGCAAAGAGGTTCCTCACTTGTCATGATCCATCTACAGCTCGAACATGTGGAGTGAATCAAGGTATCCGATACATGGATTGTCTACATGGATTGTCTATTCCAAAACCGCGAGGTCTACTACGCACCGTACACGTGTGGACGGTCACGGCTTCCGCCCCCTCCCGTCCTCTGCATCCGCGGCATCTCCGTCCCTGAACGGGTCGTCGTCCCCAATCTCAGCAGCGTCAGTGACGTCGTCCGTGTACTCGTCGTCCCAGCCGCCGCGGAGACTGATATCGTCGTCTTCCTCTCTAAGGTGGACGGCCGCTTCCAGCGCATCAGGCTCGTCGGCGTACTCATTCGCCAGACCCTCGATGCTCGCGCGGCGCACGCCCTGGCGCTCTTCCTCCTCGAGCTCGGCGCCCCGCTCCTTGGTCTTCTTGTACATGAACCAGCCCGTTGCGACGCCGGCAACGGCGCCGATGGCGATGCTCAGGTACGAGATGGCTTTTGTGCGGGCGTCCATTTTCCCGCCGCTCTCGGCAATCTTCTCCAGCTGGCTGCCGATGAAAATGTGCAGCATCAGCTTGGGGCTTACAATGGCGGTTGCGAGCGCAAACGAGGCCCAGTGCACGGTTGGGAAGGTGGCAACGGCGCCGTTGGAGAGTGAGTATGGCAGCGGACACATGCGGATCATAACTAGCAGCTTGAGGCCGTCGTGCTTGAGTGTCAGCGCGAGCGCCGCGAAGCGCTTGTCGTTTTCGATCAGCCGGGTGACCATCTTGCGTAGCAGCGTGCGGCTCAGCAGGAAGGAGGCGGTGCTGCCGGCGACGGTGGCAGAGGCGGCGATGAACCAGCTGTCGAGCGTCAGTGTGCGTCAGTATGCGTCAGTGTGCGTCAGTATGCGTCTGTATGCGTCTGTATGCGTCTGTTCCTCTCCGTCTGTTCCTCTCCGTCTGTTCCTCTCCGTCTGTTCCTCTCCGTCTGTGCGCTCCACGTCGTCGTCTGCTCCGAGGGCGAGGATGGTGATGGTGGACGTACCCGTTCGGAAAGCCATACACGAACCCCGCGACCGTCAACAGCGACGAGTAGCCAATCAGCGGCGGAAAGCTGACTGTGAATATAAGCGCCCACAGCACCAGCCAGCCCGCCGTCACGTCGCGCCACTTCTTCGCATAAGGCAGCAGCGCGCCGAAGATGCGCTCGTTGAACACCAGGAACAGGATGCCGACGACGAGCACGACGATGCCGCCGGCACCGAACAGCAGCTTCTGCACAGGCGAGAGCTGGTTGTACTGCGCCGTGGCGCGGCGCTGGACCGTCTGCGCCGTCGAGAGGCCGCGCTGCAGCAGCGTCGGCGGCCGGCTCGAGTGCGACGAGCGCGCGAACGACTGCGAGCGCCGGCTCCATATGGGCGTCTCGCCGGTCGTGTCGTCCTCGAGCGGCAGCGCGAGGGCGCGGCCGTCGTAGTCCGAGGCCGGCATGGTCGTCGCCGGTGATGCGTGCGTGGGTCGAGTCGAGTGCTGGCGGACCAGCGCGGATGACGGGTGTGCGGAGGGTCAGATGGGATGCAGAGGGGCGAAGCGATGGGCAAGTGCGTGTGAGACTACCTGCTGGGCATGTTGCGAGGCGTCGGGAGGAGAGGAAATGGAGTGTGCAGAGGAAATGGAGCGTGCAGAGGAAATGGTGTGTGCAGAGCGTGCAGAGCGTGCAGAGCATGCAGCAGTCTTGGGGGACATGGCCGCCAGCTCGTAGCTGCTGACGGCGTTAGCTAGCGGTGCTGGCGGGCTAGTTGTGGTTTCATCATCGCGGACCCTGGGGGCTCCCGTGCTCCCGGAATGCCTAGATGGTCGATCGGAGGTGCATGCCCTGCTGCACGCCGGACAAGTTGACCCTCATCGCGCAGACACAAGCTGTGCCGACCGTTGCACCTGCAGTGCAGACGCACAGTCGGCGGTTCGCAGTGCAGACGCACAGTCGGCGATTCGCAGTGGAGGCGTGACGTTGGCGATCCACTCAGCCACAGCCCAGCGGCATCTCTCATCGTGCCACCCGTAATTCCAGCCTCTCCAGTGCCATCTCCCGTGCGGTCGCTGATGCGTCGACGCTGCGATCGATATACAGACACTGGCTCACCAACGCGCCGATACTACTGGAACTCTGCGTGTGCATCGCCCCATCAGTCGCCAAGACGACGCGGACAGCTGCTGCTCTGCAAGGTACCGGTGACGGCCTTGTTGATATACCACCCGGACGGGGCCAGCCCCCCACACCCGAGCGCAGCGCCAGGCTCTCTGGGCAATTCGGCGACCGTCTCGGCTTCGTGTCTCGCTGCTCTCTGCGGGGCCAGAGACAGCACGGCGCGGGTGCGAGGAAAGCGGAGCCGCTGAGCGCAGCCATCTCTCCGACGCGCTGCCGCCGCCGCTGCTCGCACGCATACCCACACAGCACGCAACCGCCTGATCGCGCCGCCCGCCCCGACGCGCTCGCTGTCGGACCGCCCGCGCGATGGTGCCCGACGACGTGTACGACAAGGCGCGGCCCATCCTGCAGGACGAGGTGCTGGACGACGAGGACAAGACGGACCGGCTGGAGGAGCTGCTGCGCAAGGCGACGGGCCTGACGGGCAAGTCGCTGGAGAACATGGTGCTCGACTGTCTGTGGCGGTACCGCGACTCGGGCTCGACCTCGCCGCCGCCCAGCCGCCACACCGTCATCCGCCGGCCGTCGCCCGCGCCGTGGCAGCAGAACCGCGCGCCCACGCCCGTCAACCAGTCGCCGCGCACCACCAACCCGCCGCCGGGCTTTGGCATCGCGCCCCCGGCCTTCACCCGCGCAAAGTCGCACACGGGCACCGCCTCGCCCTTTACCTCGCCGCGTCCGTCGCCGCGCCTGGCCTTTGCGACGCCGCACATTCCCCACAGCCCGAGCCTCAGCGCCTACCAGTTCAGCGAGGGCGCCAGTCCGCACAACGAGTACGGCGACCTCGACAGCCATGCAGTCGACTGGCTCGTCAACGACGACTCCGGCGGCACCGAGTCGTCGCTGCTGGGCGACGGCACCCTCAATGGCGCCGCCGCCGAGTGGATCCAGCCGCAGACCATGGACATGGGGCCCTACGATATGCTGCGCTCCGTCCTCGGCAACGAGCGCTCCGACGAGGAGATTGAGCTGGCGCTCGAGGCCAACGGCTACGACCTCACCACCGCCCTGCTTGCGCTGATGAGCGCCCAGAACGGCCAGGCCCCTGTTGCGACCACCCCCATGGGCAGCGAGTCGGGCTACCTCATTGGCAAGTCGATGAGTCCGGCGCTCAGACCCGCGACGCCTGTGGGGCAGCAGAAGAGCAACATTGTCTGCAAGTACTTTTTGTCCACGGGGCACTGTGCGCGCGCAGACTGCAGGTTCAGCCATGACACTACCAAGACGCTGTGCAAGTGAGTCGCTTTCCCTGATCTCTTTGCCAACTCTTCCCCAACTCTTCCCCAACTCTTCGCCAACTCTTCGCCAACTCTTCCCCAACTCCTCGCCAACTCTTCCCCAACTCCTCACCAACTCCTCCCCAACTCCTCGCCAACTCTTCCCCAACTCCTCACCAACTCTTCTCCAACTCCTCACCAACTCTTCTCCAACTCCTCACCAACTCCTCACCAACTCCTCCCCAACTCCTCCCCAACTCTTCCCCAACTCCTCACTAACAGCTCCAGATATTTCCTCAACGGCAACTGTCTTGCCGGAGATACCTGCTTGTTCTCGCACGACCCGTCAGCCCTCATGGCCCGCATGGCCGTCTCAGATGTCTCGACACCGCCCCTGCAAGCTGCTGTACCCAACTTCCACATGTCTGACTTTGACATGTTCCCCTCGCTACAAGCATCCGACTCTCCCTACAGCACACCGCAGCCGTCCTCGCTGGAGCAGCTCTACGGATTGACAGGGAGCGGCCACACACGTCCTCCCCCAGGACTGAGTCCCTTTCCCGTCTTCACACCCGCAGCAGGCAGCCGTCCACAATCACGAGCCGGCAGTCGTCAAGTCTCGCGTGCCGCGACCCCGTCAGCGCTAGCTGTCGACGACAACGAGGCGTTCCCGAGTCTTGGATCTGCCGCCGCCGCCAAGTCGGGCAAGCGACATCACGGCAAGCGAGGCGGACACGGGCACAGAGACGGAGCCGTGACGAGCAACCTGGCTGATGTCGTGCGCATGTCGCCTGCGCCTGCATCGCCGGTTCCGGCGCGCAAGGGACTCAAAACGACCAAGAGCTTTACCGGGTCGCGTGAGAACAGCGTAGCCGCCCAGGCCATCCCTGCACCGCAGCATATCCCGTGGCTGGAGACGGGCGAGAAGGGTAATCAGGCCTATCTCAAGGCCCGAGCGGAGGCATTCAAGCATGGCAGTCTGCGGAACAAGTTCTTGCAAAGGTAGGCCATGCACATGCTCGAGAGGCAACAACATGCTAACCCTCGTCAGTGCCGCACAAGCCTGGAATCGTAGCGACTCTCGCGCTGCCAAAGCTCTCAGCCTGAGAGGGCAGAGCGAGAACAATCTGATGCGCGAAGCTCATCGTGAAGCTGCACGCATACTCTATGAAGAGCGAAACAAAGGCAACGATGACTCGAAAGAGTTGTACGTTGACTTGCACGGTAAGTCGCCACAACACACGGCTGCCGTGTTGACACTGATGCACGCAGGACTCCACCCAGACGAGTCGGTTTCCTACCTCGAAGGCATCCTGCTCAAACACAGCACCTCCGCCCGCCCCGTCTACGCCATCACCGGCACGGGCCACCACTCCAAGAACGGCAAAGACAAGGTCGGCAAAGCCATCCGCGGCTTCCTCAACGAGTGGCGCTACGCATTCCGCGAGTTCTCCGTCCCCGGCGACCGCAACAACGTCGGCGGCATCCTTGGCATCGACCCGAGCAGCTACGATAAGAGCGTTGCCGAGCGGCCCAAGCAGAGCGACGAGCCCGCTGACGATGCCAGCAAGGACGGCAAAGTTAGAGTCATGAAGAGAGAAGAGGTTTTGGATGCGCCCAAGGGGCCGAAGCGCGGCGCGTGATGCTGGCGAGTGTCCGGAGCGACTAAATAACCACAAGGTAGCCTCAATAAGAAAGGTTCAATTGCAGCGTTGCGTACTTTGATCTTATGACAATGGTTGGGGCTTGTGGTGCGTGCTGTTGCGGTGGGGTGGGACGAGCCGTGGGGTGGGAAGGAAGGTGCTGTTGGGTCGTTCTTTCCTCTTTGGCAGGAACACACCTCACCCACACCGCCCGACCTTGCCTTTCTCGCTCGCAGCACTACGGTGTACTCGCACGGCTCACGACAGCCGCCTCACCAGGCTGCGTCTAGCCACTCCATACAAAGCTCCACCACGCATTGACGGACACGCATCACCTCCAGGCTGGTCAAGTGCTGCCGCGACAGCGTTGCCCTTCACCACACGGTCTCTGCACTAGTCGACTACTGACGACCCGAGCCACAGCCTCGCCATGAGCAGCATCAGCACCACCCCACGGCGCCCCAGCACCGCGCAACCCACGCCCCTCAGCACGCGCCTCCCCTACGAAGCCGCCGAAGCACTCCTCTGGGAACGCCAGAACTCCCGCGCCAACACGCACCTCCACGCGCAGATGAAAGCCCTCCAGTCCGCACACGAGGCGTACAACGCGCGCATCGCAGCTATCGAGGCCGTGGCTGATGCCGCCGAGGCCGCCGTCGCTAGGGTCAGGGGTCTGGAGAGGAAGGTTGAGGCGCTCGAGGCGGATGAGAGAGAGGGCCCGTTTGTGGCGTGGTGCAAGGAGGCTGTCACGGGGTTGCAGGGGAGTGTGGAGGGAATCAAGGGGTTGAGGCAGAGGGTTTGTGCGTTGGATGGGAGGGTTGAGAGGTTGGGGGAGGATGTTGAGGGGGTCAGGGATGAGGGTGGGGTTGTTAGGGGGGTGGTGAAGAGGTTGGAGGTGCTGGAGGGTGGGAGGAGGGAGGAGGGGAGGAGGGCTGCGGAGGTGCAGAGGTTGAGTCATCGACAGGAAGACAGTCGCCAACGAGAATGTGAGCGTGAAGGGGTTGAGGAAGCGCTTGGTGAGGCGCAGGAGGATGACAATCCGCTGGCTGTCTTCTACGGAATCGAGACACAGTCACCCTCGAAGCGTCAGGACCGCGAGCGTACCAGCACCGCCGCTCGCCCCCAAGGTCGCTCTCCAGGCAGATTGACCGAGTCACCTCAGCGCCATGGTCATACGGGTGTCCTCCCGCCACCAGATGAAGACACCGTACGCCCAGAGGACGACAGCTTCGATCTTCTAGAAGCTGTGCCTGAGATCGAGTATGGCTGGGAGAACACTCAGCAGTTCAAGGACATGCAGAAGGAGCTTGCCGCTCTTCGTGCGATGTGCCGAGCTCAAGAACCCAAAAGCAGCAACGAGGCTGCAGATGCTACCCAGCGTCCACAGGAAACGCTGATCGTTGGCACAGAGAACAATGCTGGCTTCTCAGACGCCACCACTGAGATGGAGGTTGAGTGCAACGACAACGGCCGTCAGTTCCACCAGGGCACCCCTCCAGGCTCAGTCAGCGTGTTGAGGTGAGATAGTTGCAAACGCACTGTTGCAATCATGGCTAATGCATGTCCAGCTCTGACACACAGATACCTTCCTCGCCGCCGAAGCGAACAGAGATGCAGTCAGCCAGGCGCAATCTCATGAAGCGGCCTTCCATCTACGACCCGCGAGTGCCCTCGGTGAACGAGCATGTACAGCCCGAACGAGCGGCGCCTCCTACCTGCGAAGATCCTGCTCGAGATTCTAGCTCTTCGCTGCTCGTCAAGCTGCCTGTCGACGCTCCCACTACTGACAAGACTTCGGGAAAACGGAAGCGTGTCGACGATGCACCAGCTCAACGCGTGACGCGCCCAAAATTAGGTGACGACAGGACAGCTCCCAGAAAACCAGTTGCTCCAGCAGCCCAGAAGGACATGATCGTCGAGGAAACCGCCGTCGCAGAACAAATGCCTCTGACCTTCGGCGACGAGACTCCGGCCCCGCTCTCACCCACGCGCAGAACGTTTGGCAAGCAGAAGCAAGCAGTGGACCGTTCACTCCAGCAAGCAGTGCCGCAAGCCGTTCCAAGCAGACAAGAGCAGCCGATTCTGCCAACCAAGTCAGCCATGTCCGTGGCTGAGACCGTGAAGTCGCGCAAGGCGATCAGTAAGCCAAAGCCAAAGCCCACCCCAGCTCCACAGCAGGCACCACCCGAAGCTGCTCCTGGCAGCTCGAGACAGGCACCCGCTACTGTGAAGAAAGACACCAAGGGGCCTCGACAGTCCGTTGGGGCATGCAAGTCATGTCGTTTGCGTCACCAGAAGTGTGATCGAACGCAGCCGGCCTGTGGACGCTGCGCGAAGCTCGGCACTCCTTGTCAATATCCTCCGTCTTCGACCGCCACCGCAGCTCCCGCGTCCAGTCCGAAGAAGAAGCAAGCGCATAAAAAGTCTGCAATCGAAGCCGGCCGTGAGCGATCTGTGACTGTCAGCCCAGGGGCACCTCGACAGAAGAGCTCGGCAAAACGCCCAATGCCCACTTCGCCATCCAAGAAGCCGACCGTTGCTGCAGCCCCCACCGCAACCAGCTCTCGCACGACCAGAGCAAAGAACACGCGGGCTCGAGGAATTTCTCCAAAGAAGAAGTAGAGCGTGGCTCAGACACTTTCATTTACGGCTTTCCAACCTCTCATGTCTCGGCAAACGCATACAACCCCTCGCGGTCCTCAACCGGCACCTCTAGCGTCGCCTCGTCAATATCCTTCCCATCAACCTTGATTCCCGCCCTCATAACATCCCCCGTCTTCACCGGCCCGACACCCTTTGGCGTTCCTGTCAGAATGATATCACCCGCCTCGAGCGTCATAACCCTGCTGATGGCGCTTAGCTGTTCCGGAATGCGGTGCAGCATCAGCGCGGTGCTGTCGGACTGCTTCATCTCCCCGTTCACGGACAGCCAGATGTGGGCGTTTTGCGGATCGGGAATGCGCGACTTGGCGATCAGCTGCGAGATGGGGAGGAAGGTGTCGAAGCCCTTGGCGATGGACCACGGGAGGCCTTTCTTCTTCGCTTCTTCCTGCACGTTGCGGCCCGTCATGTCGATGGCGAGCAGATATCCTGTCCTCGTCAGTCTGGCCCGTCCACGTAGTTTCCATGTTTTCCATGTCCAGACACATATCCCCGTGATACAACACACGATAGTCCACCATAACCCCTCAATAATAGATAGCTAGACATACCCGAAATAGCATCCATCGCCCCCTGCTCATCATCCTCGCGCAAATCCCGCACCTGCCGCCCCATGACAAGCCCCAGCTCGACCTCGTAGTGCATGTTCACGCCCTTGGGCCTGAGCACAGGCCCGGCGCCGGGCAGCAGGATGGACGACGCGGGCTTGAGGAAGAAAAACGGCTGTCGCGGTGTCGCGCTGTTCAGCTCCGCGATGTGCGCCGCGTAGTTGCGGCCTATGCACATTATCTGCGCGCGTCAGTGGACCTGCATGCTCGTTGTGCGACCGTACGTACCTTGCGGCAGTTCCGCGCTATGCTTGCTGCGCTCGCCATTGTAGTCGATGGGTGTGGTATGTACAAGGTAGGAATGGGACGCGGATATGCACTGCACTGCACGGTTCAAAAGCAAAGCAAAGTAGAGGAAAGCAAAGCAAAGAGTCGAGGAGACAGCGATACCGCACCCAAATCTACCACCGCGACTTGCCGGTACCTGGCCCGAATTAGCGTCGGCGCTGGAGCTGTATGGGTGGTGGATCCCTGCACCACCGACCCCACATTAACGTCGCTGCCGCGGTGCGTCATCTCCATCTGCATCTCCAGCACCACCGACCCAGACTGCGACAGGCCAATTCCCAGCATCGCAGCGGACACGATGCAGCTCGCGCAAATCCTCAGCGATCTTGTCTCCTTGCGTCCGGGTGTTTGTGTACGTTAACCCCCCCCCGTATCTCCCCTGCCTTTATTCTGTAGCGGACACCCGGGAGACCGTATACTATACGCTGCGTGTGCTGTGCAATTCTAACACTCTCAGGACCCTGCTGCAGCGCTTGCGCTTGTTTCTGCACGCCCCTCTTCTTCCATAGCGACAGCTACAGCGACGGCGACGGCGAATGCCGAAGACGGGGACGGGACCGCACGAGAGGCAGCTGTGGATGCTGGTGGAGACGTGGATGTAGATCTCAAGCGCGCAGAGGAGCTCGTCGCTCTGCACCACGCCGTGCGCGAGGGCTGCACGAGCGGCGCGTTGAGCAGCGTGTTGGCTGAGGCGAGGCGCGCTGTGGATAGGGCTGTGGGGTGATGAGGGCTGGGTCGACGACGTCGAAGGCGAATTCGAACTCGAAGGCGCACTTTGAGGTTGGAGGGTACATGGCCGTACTTGGGTGCGTAAGGCAGGGAACGAGGCGGGTGAAGACGAGTGTCAGGAGGGTGGAGCCAGAGAGAGACCTGGGACAGCCGGGTTGGGGCGAGCACGTCAGCGAGGGGGTTTTGGTGCGCTGAGAGGCGCGACTTTGATGCCGCGGGTAGTGCAGATGCAGATGCAGAACCCAGTGCTTCGCGTGGTTGTATCAAGAACAGACACTGCCGTCCGGCCGCGACGAAGCGGCCACGCGACAAGCATCGTACGCGGCGCTGCTGCGCCCAAGTCCCGTAGAACGCGGCGATTAGCACTTCTTAGCTACACAAGACTGCTCCGTAGCCCTGCACAGCGTTTCCCTCCTCCATCATGCTTGTAGCAATGTGCTAAAGCGTCGTAGCGACGTGCCGTCTTTGCTGGGCCACTCGCATACCGTGCAATCAGTCCTTGAGATATTCTCATTTCTGCACCGTGTATATGCGTGGTCCAGTATCTCGCTGCTTGGGGGCTTTCGCGCGCCATTATGTGGGATGTTGCTGTTCCTGACGCGCACATCAATGTGGATGGAAAATCGCCATGTTGCAACGGAACGAGAAGTACGTTTGAAAGTAGATGAAATCCATCACAAAGGCTATAGTGCATATGCCAACGGATTTGCGACGCGATGGGAACCATGGTGGTCGTTTGGTTGCCCTTTTGCTAGGAAGCGTGGTGCCAGGTGTGACGAGAATTCGAGCCAGGCCGTCAGAAACAAGCACTGCAACGCCCCATGCTGACGATTATCACAGGCGAGAGCGCGCATATGCACAGAAGAATGTAAGAATTGCAGTGTTTGATTAGATCGAAATTCGCTCAAAGAATATCCCTGTCCATGCTCCTCCCGTCTCGGAACTAGAACTGACTAGCCATGCTCAAGCAGCAATATATGTACAGTGCGCGAAATCGCGTGCAAAATCACCATCCTGCCCTTGTGGCCCCAACCGTCTGGGACGCCGTGCGTAAACAATCTCAAAGGCTTTCTAGCACCTTTCAGGCGCATCCATCTGCCCGCGCCTGAGGTGCTCAAGAAGTAGTCGGCGCTGCCGTCTCTGACGTCGACTCAGTGGTGGCAGCGTTCACGCCCTCTGGATTCGGCGCATCGATGATGGCGGGTGCTTCCTTGGTAGCCTCGACGTCGGCCATGGAGACATCACCGTCCTTGTCGGCAGGTGCTGCAGTAGCTGACTCAGCTGGCGCTTCCTCCTTTGGCGCTTCGTCCTTCTCTTCTGTGGGCTCAGCCGTCGTCTCGTCCTTGGGCTCCTCCTTAAGCCCCTCCCTGTCCTCCTCCGTGGTCTCTTCCTTCTTCTCAACAGCTGGCGTGTCAGCCTTTGCAGACTCAGACTTCTCATCATCAGCCTTGACGCCATTGGTAGCGGCCGGTGTGGTCTTCTCGGCAGACTCTCTATCAGCAGTGGCCAGTGCGCCATTCCACTTGCTCAACAGCTCAGTGGAGCGTGACTTGAAGCTGTGGACTTCCTCCTTGGGAATGTTGTCCAGCTTGATGATAGCCTTGAGGACCTTGTGGACCTTGGTTTTCTTAATGATATCGGCCTCGAGATCCTCATGTTGTTCGAGCTGCTTCAGGTAATCAGCCATGCTGGTCATATCCTCGTCCTTGGGAGCCTGGTCGCGGGAGAGGAAGCCCTTCTGCAGGCGGTGGCGGAGGTACAGAACTACGCTGGTTAGCAATTGCTGGAGTTCAAGGTCGTTCTGTGCTTACTCTGCTTCTCGCGCTTGACCAGACGCTCTTCCTCAGTCATCGGCGGCTCCTCTGGCTGAGCAGATGTGGCTTCCTCCGAAGCCTTCTTCTTCGACTTCGTCTCCTTCTTGGGCTTCACAGCAGAACCCTCCTTAGGGGTCTTGTTGTTGAGCTTCAGCTTGGTAGTCTTAGGTGTCTTCGCTGCAGGCTCGCCACCGTCGCTGTCGTCTTCCTTCTTGCGCTTCTTGGTGGCCTTTGCCTTCTTGGCTGAAAGAGCGGCATCGTCACCGGCGTCTTCCATCTCCATATCGTCAGAGCCGGCTGCAGCGCTACTCTTTCGCTTGGCAGCTTTCTCCTTTCTCTCCTTCTTCTCGGCCTCCTTAGCTTCACGCGCCTCAGCGTCCTCTTGCAGGGCTGCCTCGTGGCTTGCGAGCATGGTCTTGAAGTACGCCAGATCGTGGCCTTCTGCAGCAATCTCGTATGCCGACCACAATGCCTTGTTCTTCTTTGCCGAGTTGCCAGCCTCGACGTCCTTCTTTACGTCCTCAACATCGAATGTCAGGAGCTCAGTGTTGACTTGCCAGGCGCTATCAAAAACATGTCAGCAGATGGGGCTGTGGGGGCGATGGGTTCAACTTACAACTCGTTAGTGCCGAGGAACATGATAGGATATCTGCGGTCCTTCGCGTTTTTGCCGCCCTCAAGGAAGTCCTCGCGATATGTCCCATCGATGCGCTTTGCGCTGACAGGGCGCTTGCTCAAGAGAGACTCAGGCAGCATCTCCTCGTCGCAAACGATGACCGGCCATGGCTGGTATCCGCGCATGGCGACCATATACATGTCTCCGGGCTGAGCGTCAAGACGGAGTTCAGGCGCCTTCTTCTTGCTCTTGGCGGGTGTCTTCTTGGCCTTGTGCTCGGGCATGCCCCCTGCTGACTTGCGCTTGCCATTCTTCGACTTCTTAGCCGGGGTGGTCGCGGTGCCGTTCGTGGCGGAGGCGTCAGCAGCAGGTTCGGCAGCAGACTCGGCGGCAGGTGCGGCATCTGGGCAGTCATCAGTATCGCTGTCATGTCGAGTGGGTGTGCTGAAACGGTTTCGGTCGCGACAGTAATTTTCACGTACCTGTCTCGTTGCTTGCAGCGGCTGCGTCGGTCGTCGCGTCGGCAGTCGTCTCTTGCTTGGCAGTGGCAGTCTCCTCAGGCTCCTCTTTCTCCGGAACTGATACGTCGTCGCGTTAGAAAGCCCCGTGGAAGCTACGCGCGACTTCTCTTACCTTCAGCAACTCCCTCGGTTGCGATGACGGCATCCCCCTCAGAGGGCTTCGCCTTGGCGACAGCAGGCTCGGCTGCGGCGTCTACGGGACGCGTTGGGATCTCAGTGGTGGCCGCGGGCTCCGTCGCCACGGGTGCTGCTGCCTCGTCCGCCATGGCTCGTGTCGGGCTTACGGTTGCACGGTCTGCTGTTGACGCGTAGAGTGGGCGGGAAGCAGCGATTAAAGCTCGCGGGGTGTTGGACGCGATATGTGTACCGCGTAGTTGATGGGCGGGGACGTGTGTTGATGACGCGCGGTGGTGAGGGTGGTTGGGTCGGGGGGACGCGGTGGAGTCGGGATTTAGGAAGAAGGCTCGCAGCGCAACCTTCGCTCAAAATAGGATCACGTGCCCTAGTGACGCGATCTACTTAGTGTGCTGCCCCTGCTTTCGCCAAATAATTCCGAGGTGTTTCGCTGACCGCCTTAGAACCACCGCTGTGAGTTTGGAGCTGCTGCAGCTCCTGGATGTCGTGATCGTAATGCTGTCTCGTAATGTTGTTGGTCGATTCCCGGGGTTTGGCGTTGAACGCACGGCCCTCGATGGAGTACAGAAATCGCCCCTCGATACGCAAAGCAGAGGGTCCCACGAAAGCACTAGGAAAGCTGGCAGACTACGAAGACCGTATGTGCTTGTTGATGCTGTGGCGACCTCCACCTCTTGCTTTGATGATGGAATTTGATGGATGTGTTGATCGAAGCGGCTGCTCGGCCTGCCGCCAATGAGCTAAGCTGCGCCTTCCAGGTAAGGATGCGATTCGTCGCACTGAGTGCCAGTGGTGACAGAACACGCGACTCCAGCTTACATCTACTCGCTTGTAAGTGATTGTTCGCCTTCAAGGATTGGTCTTTCAGCTATATCACCTGTGATTGCAGCCGGGCTCTGCGAGCGATCTTTCGAACAACACAACACTGGAGGGAAGATCGCGGGGCGCAGGGGTTTTTCATTTTTGGTTTGAACAGACCGATTGTATTCAACTACTGTGACAGCTGGTCAGCTCGCAGAACTTGAGAGTTGGTACATGCACTTACTGTACTCTACATGTGAGGGATCTGGAGGCTATGAAACGACAGGTCCCCCAACACTGTCCTTGACTACCTTCTTGTAGCTTCGCCCTGGCGTTCGCTTCATTTCTATCGTGCGAGCTCAATGCGAGTTCAATGAATGGGGGACGAAATGAGAGAGCTGTCGTCTGCAATAAGCTGCTTAGAAGGGATGGCCCCCAAGCCCTCTTGAAGGAGTACGCGCAAGCGCAACAGACCCACCGTACATCGTGAGCTTGAGACTAAAGCAGAGCTTGCGGTGTAGCAAATCTGAGAGCATGGTAGTGCGGCTAAGCTTTACTGATCAGACCTTGTATATGCGCTTGATAGCCGACGCGGGCTGCGAACATGGAGCGCACTTTACGCAGCGCATGTGCAGTAGCGAAGAAAATCCTCTCGACACTCTCTGGGAGGTCGTATTGGCTTGAGCAAAGTCCTGATTGTAGTCATCAAAACACATTGGGTGCCATGGTATCACTGGCGCTTCGATGCGCAGATGACCCATCCACTGCGCGAAGCAAGCTGGTGCTAGTCCAAAGCATAGGGAATGGTTCAGTCGCACTCAAGCAGTGGCACTGCCATGTACACCAGACCCTGGGGCGGCTCTGTCACGGAGGCTCTCCGCTGCAGCGTGCTATCGATAAGCTCTCGTGCACCTGCAGCTCTTGATCTTGACATGTTTACCGTACGTCTTTGACGGACTGCCTCGCTTCCCTTCCCAGCTTTGGCATACTCTTATGTCACTGCTCTGATGCAGCCGCTTGCCCCAGACGATACTGCTCTGCGTAATGATAGCTCTTTACATCTCGCAGTGCGGAATGGTGGCGGACTGTTCAAGGGGTTCGTTGTAATTTGCGAAGCTCGCTATGGGATATCCGGTATAGTTTGAAGATGGCGTACTTGTGGTAGATGGTGTGTCAAGGACCATTCCTTGAGGTTGATTGACAGCTGGCGTCCAGTACTTGACCGAGCCGCCGGAGGCTCTGACGACCCCAGCAGGTACTGCATCGGTGCAGAGCGCAAGATATCGGTAGTGATCTGACCGCATTTGCAGTGCTATCAGGTGTGCGCGTGTTGCGAACATGACAGGCGGTGTTCGAAATCAAGACTAGACCGAGGGGCGGCTGTGCAGCGGGCGACAGCCTCGTCCCGGACGGCGTCGTTGATTGTTATTCGCCAAAAGCCCAGGGCGTAGGTATCGTCGGTATATCCGATATCGTGAATGCGCTCGGTGTCTCGCTGGTGCTGGCAGTCATGGCGAAGATGGTGTTCGTGGAAGGGTCTCTGCACGATTGAATGCTAACGGCAGCATCTATCACGTGCACAACTGGCCTGCCAAACCTCATAGACCACCCATTCACTACTCCGTTCGAATATCTTTCAAATGACCTTAACTGCCAGCGAAAGAGACCTCGGATGCCTCGTAAATTCTCCGGGGCAGCGCAAACTCTTGTTCGCAATAGCGCAATCACTGGCGTTCCTACCTCGTGTTGAGCGTCCACAAGCTGGCTGCTTACAGTGACGCCTCCATGCATGACTGCAAAATCTGTGGATCAGGCTCCAGTAAGGTTGTAAAATCTGTAACACTTCTTAGACTAATCTGATCTTACACGAAGCTGCAAGCGGTCACCACTGGCGGCTCGTGCTTCAATGCTAGTGCGGGGACGCCGGAGAGCTGCAGATCTTCAGGACATTTCTCGAGATTGCACCAACAAGGTCCCCACCACTCACAAACATGGCGGCACAGACACCCACCACAAATGGCGAGCAGAGTGCTGAATACAAGGCGCTGTGGGCAAACAAATACCGTGGGGTATGCAGCACCTACAAACTTTGACAAGAGTGAGTGCTGATGATCGGTCCGTCACAGGCCACAGTAGAGGACCTCGACCCACCGCCTGCGCTCTCCGTCAGCCCTACCGACCCAATCTCATGGGCACTTATGAGCGGCCTTGAGCGCGACTACACGCACTTGACTGTGGTGTCGAATGAGAACCGCGCCCTGCTCGGGTACATCAGCATCCCGCGCCTACAAGAGCTGCTCAAGGAGCGCAAAGTGGGCGAGAACGACCCGGTCCAAGCAGCTATGCACAAGTTTCAGCGCCGTGGGAGGCGGTACAAGGTCATCGACATGGAGACGCCACTTGAGGAGCTCGAGGAGTTCTTCAAGGGTGGAGTGGACGGCAGTGGGAAGCAGGAGTTTGCAGTCGTCACAGATGCAAGCCGCAAATTCGTCCTGGGTGTTGCGACGACAGATGATTTGGATAAGTTCCTGAAGACGAGGGCATGAAGGAATAAGGGAAGGGCGGATACACACAAAGAGTCGAGAAGGGAATCAAAATGGCCTGCATTGCTCGGCGTTTGCTTGTAATACCACATGGGAAGAGGTGTTTTGGAGGAGGAGTGATTCACAATTCCCTCTGCGGACTGGGCTGCAACACGCGCATCAAGTTTGAGCACCTGTAGCAGGATGAGAGGTAATCTTGAAAGGACCTAGCGGTTCGCCTATGTAGATCCTAGATGTCAATCACGATCGAAATGAGATCGACAACTTGGAGTTCGCAGTTTAGATCCTTCACCGCATGCTGGACATCTTACACGAACAACCCTGCTCACCACGACCATTTCATGACACCAAAGAAACTAGACGTCATGCTACCTTGTCTGGGCCTAGTGAAGCTCAGCCCTATCCGCATTCCTCAACGAACCATGGATTCGGCAACGGACCCGACCCAGCCAACCTGACAATCTGGCGAGCATAATAGCAGGTCAAACTTCTCTCAAACCCTGCAACGTCCGCGCCCTCATGCGCTTATAACCCTCGACACCGGGAGCTTCGCCCCATACCAACCCAGACGCTCGCTGGCATGCCCGCACTTCTCCTCCGCCTGCGCAGTCCCGTTCCCCACCTCCCGCGGACGCATCGTAGCGCAACATTTATAGCACCACGGTCACATACGCAGCGCTGGCCGTCTGTCACGCCAAAAATCCACACACGATGCTACGCCCAGCAACCACACCAGCCACAACTGGGCACCACGACGCCTGTCGAAGATGAAAGCAAGCGACCGCCCGTAAAGTCGCCGTTCTACTTTGAAGCGGGCTACGCGCTCTTCGCGAAGCGCCCCAGTCGTCCCTTCCCGCCGCCCTTCCTCTCGCTCCCGTCAACAAGCTTCTCAGAGCCGCTGAGCACACACAACAAGTCGCGCGACCGGCGGCCCAAAGTAGACGGTGAGATGATCCGCGGCGTGACCAACGGCGACGACGCGGTGCTGGTCAGCGACTACTTCATCGGTGCGAACGACGGGGTCGGCGCGTGGGCGACCCGGGAGCGGGGCCATGCAGCACTGTGGTCGCGGCTGATTCTGCACTTCTGGTCGCTCGAAGCTGAAGCCGCGCCCTTCTCTGCTGCTGCCCCTCCAGACCCAATCCACTACCTGCAGACCGCGTTCGAGCGGACGAAAGCCGCGACCTCAGAGCCCAACGAGTGGCACGGCACGACGACGGCCGTCGGCGCGCTGCTCAGCGCTTCTGAAAATGACGCGCCCTTGCTGTACGTGACGCAGATCGGCGACGGGCAGATCCTCGTCATCCGGCCCTCGACGAAAGAAGTGCTGTTCAGGACGGAGGAGCAGTGGCACTGGTTCGACTGCCCGCGGCAGCTGGGCACCAATTCGCCCGACACCCCGACCACGAACGGGGTGCTCGACGTGCTCGAGATCCAGGAGGACGACGTGGTGATCGCGATGACGGACGGGGTCGTGGACAATCTGTGGGAGCACGAGGTCGTGACCAACGTGTGCGAGTCGATGGAGAAGTGGCGTTTCGAGGGCGCGCGGGAAGTGGAGGGCAAGGAGGTCGGCAAGCAGGGGAAAGATGACCAGGAGCAGAGCTACGCCGACGGCATGCGCTTCGTTGCACAGCGGCTGGTGAACGCTGCGCGTGAGATCGCCGAGGATCCGTTTGCCGAGAGTCCGTACATGGAGAAGGCGATTGACGAAGGGCTGAGTATTGAGGGGGGCAAGCTCGACGATATCAGCGTCGTTGCCGCGCAGTGCAAGAGGCGCAACGGCTGAAGCACAGCACATACAAACGAGACAGTCACGGCCATATGGCTACCTGGCCAAGCAATCGACGACCAACGCAGCTTCGCCATCTGAGGCAGAGACACGGACAGCGCAACAGCCCACCAAAGCGCCCGGCGCGCGTGTCTAGGATGCTCCACGCTGTCTCTCAACGAGAATTAGGTTCGCGGAGGTGCTCAAGAGCATGAGACGGCTTATGAATGGTATAGATTTGTATTCGGTATGGATGTTTAATGGTATGGGCGTCTGTAGACGCGTATGCTCTAGGCGTACGTCGCGCATCATCTTCTGTTGAAATGACGCGGACGGCTCGGATACGGTTGAAACGTTGCAAGGATATTGGAGACCGCCAGGCATGCCAGTGCTGCACAGGAGCTCAAAGACATGACAGTGCGGATGATATACCAACCTAGTCTTCTGAACTCTTCTCTCTTTGTGGCGAGTCGGAGGGTGATCGTGTAGCGCGCTTTCTATTGCGACCGGACCGAGATCTCGATCTCGATTTGCTTGAGCTGGGAGAACGTTTGCGTTTCTTGATGTCAGCTGGCGACCCTGAACCAACATCTGAAGGGGAACGTCTGCGTCGTCGAACGGGGCTTACAGACCGTGAACTGCTTGATCTTGCGCGTCGGCGACGCGGCGGCGTGCGAGATCGTGACCTTGACAGCCTGGGTGCTGGTGAGCTCGCTTTCTCTTTGGGGGAAGCAGATCGAGATGTGTGCCTGGGTAGCCTTCTGCTGTCGTTGCTAGGGGACCATGCTTTGTCCCATTCACCGTTCCTCCGCTTGCGTCGTGGAGAGGGCGAGCGCCTCGATCGGCGGGGTGGAGACCTTGAGCGGCTGCTTGAGGGAGAGCGTCTTCGGCGTCTCGGTGGTGTGCGCGAGCGATCGGTAGAAGGGGAGCGGCGGGCGCGTCTAGGCGGTGGAGAACGAGACCGGCTGCCTGAGGGCGAGCGACGGTCTCGCGAACTAGCACGGCCGCGTCCTCTACCACGGCCACCATTCGGGACATAGACGTCACGCTCGCGGCGTGGAGGTGACCTGCGCCTTCTGTCGTTGGTCAGAGAGTGTCCGTCAACACCGAGAGTATGAGCTTACGGGGGCGGTGAACGCGAGTCTCGGCGTGGTGGTCGACGGTTGAAGTCTCGGCCTCCTCTTCCACCTCTATCGCCTCGGTATCCTCCACGGTCGCCACGATCTCCCCGATCTGCACGGTCTCTATAGTCACCGCGGAAGCCGCCTCGTCCACGACCACGACCTCGATCCCCTCTGTCCTCTCGATCCCCTCGACCTGGGCGTTCGTTGTCCCGGAACACGTTCACAATGTCGTCTTGGTCTGACTGTTCTTTGCGACGGGACTCGGCGGCCGCTTTGGAGAGCTGGGACGTGTCAGCCATCACTTCTGAACGACAGCTCTTGCAATCCTCACCTGCTCCTGCTGCAATTCGAGCTTCTTCGCCTCGAGCATTTCCTTTGGCACGCCCATGGGGCTTTCCTGAGCGCTGAGCATCAGATCCCACAGCTCTTTGCAGAATGCTGGTGTGTCCTTGTTGAGGAAGCCGGTGAGTTGGATCTGGATCTCTTTGATATTGGGCTGCTGATGGTGAGCAAATGTCTCTGGTAGCTGTACACGTCGTTGTACGTACGGATTGGTTCTGCTCGATCAGGTTGTAACATGTCTCCACGACGATGTCATCTTCGTCGCCCAGGATATCTGTGATCTTCTGCGCAATCCACTTCTTCATCAGATCAATGTTGACTTTCTCGATGTCAACCTTGCGATCGAACTCCGGAGGGAACTTCGTGGCCTTCAGACGCTTCTGATCGATGCTGAGCGCCATGTTTGCTGGGACAGTGAGATCGAGGAGGGCTGGGCTGTGCAGTCGCGAGCACGAGCACGAGCGATGATGCAGTCCCAACTACCGGTAGCGCCGAGGTCGTGCTTTTCTCCGCAAACGCGTCTCCACCCTCACTCACCTGCAGCCAAGACACCACCAGCCTTAAGATGAACGAAGTGGTGCTGCATACTTTCAAATGAACGCTTGAAATTGGCATTGATTGTTGTCCCGAATCTCGCTGTTGCTAACGTTGTTGAGCTGCGCTTTCCCACCATGACTACCCTGAGGGCCTTCAGGGTAGGTCTTGCCCGCGAAGGTCATTACTTCTTCCATAGCCACGCGATGCTGTAAACAATCAAGATGGCATTGGCCATTCTCAGATCACCTCCCGCCCATCGCCCACATCACTCTTCTAGCCCCCACATTCACCGCAGCCATTCTTTGTATCCATCATCTCATCACTCACTGAGGCCTTTTCTCGGCGCGCATCTTCCTTGACCAGAACTATGGCAGACGCTGATCCGCCCGCTGCTGTGCCGGAAGGGGCCCCTGCTGAAGAGAAACAGCCTCAACCTGCCCCAGAACCACCCGCAGAGGAATCCGCAGCAGATCAACCTGCTCCAGAGTCAGCTCCGGAACCAGCAGCCGAGGAACCTCCAGCGGACGACGCCCCTCCTGTAGAGGAGAAAGTCGCCGATCCTGAACCTGAGCCTGCTGGAGATCCTCCAGTTGAAAACCCTCCGGCAACTGAGCCCACTGAAGACGCCCAGCCTGAGCCTCAGGCCGAGCCAGAAGAAGTAGCACCTGAACCTGCAGCAGAACCCGAGCCTGAACCTGCAGCAGAGCCCGAGCCTGAACCTGCAGCAGAACCTGAGCCTGAACCTGCAGCAGAGCCCGAGCCTGAACCTGCAGCAGA